ACGTTATTGGAGGGCATGACAATTCTCTCAGGCTTCAAGTGATTTCAGCCGTCACGAATACTTGTTCGGAGGTGCGTTTTGCATTCGCACCAACATCAGGCAGGTTCAGAGATCCGAATTGAGCTGTCAGGTTCTCGAGCGGATCGCAAGTCTCTTCCGCCATCCTGTCTCCTGGCTGGGTTCATTCCCTACTGGCCAGGTTGAATTGCTGCACTCTGAGTCCCTTTCAGTCTTCGGGTGACAAGAGGTTTTGCTTGAGCCCCATGCGCACTCTCCATTGAAGCATCCGAAAGTCGACGAAGGAGAGGGAAATGTCTCGGGAAAGTGTTCGCTTTTACTCGTCTGTTTCGACATCTTTGAAATCATATGCATGATACCATCGGTGGCAAGAGACGTAGCCCATGCACTGCGACGCCGGGGCTGCTCATTCTTCCACTGCGTAATCTTTGCGACAGATTTTTAGTTACTCGTGCAAGCTCTTGCCAAACTCGTCTTCATGCGAATGCTTCAGCAGCCCACAATTCGGTTCGTGATTAGGTACAGCGCATTTTTGCTCCGACTGGCTGCCGTCTGCACAGGCCATGAGATGATTGCTTAGTTTGCTGGGAGCGCAAGCAGACCTTCCGTTTCCCACATGCAAGCGTACTTCACTCGAGCCACAGGCGCGTCTGGTCATGCAGACAAGCTCTTCGATTAAGCACTGCATGAGGGCTTCGTACACGAGTTTCGCCTCAACAAATACAGTTCTGCGCTATCAACTTTGTGCGTCGATTTCAAGCAACTCGGAAAGCTGCATGTCATATAATGGAATTCTCTGGTATCTGCTTTGCGGAACCGGGTACTGGATGCAAAGCTGGCGAGGGAATCTGCTCTGGATATTAACATCAAATCCGATACTGTTTGAACAAGCAATGGCGAAGATGAAACGGTCCGTGTTTGTCATTAGCATGTTCAAGCGGCGGTGGCCATGATCTGCAACAGGAGGGATGAATTAGCTGCTGAGCCTCTTTGGTGGGCAGTCCGATTTTCTCACGCGTCAGGATCGGTCCTCTTGCTTCCGTTATTCTCGCTTTACGTTGGTAGCTGTAGTTGGCCGCACACTTTTGATTTGATGGCGCAAAGAAGAGATGCTCTCCGAGAAACTTCAGATTCTTGTGTTGCCGCAGAGGCCGTTTAACTCGTTCGGCATATTTAGAGCCTGGGATCGAAGAACGAAATCCGTATGGAATAATTCCCGCACATCGGCCAGATCCTGCTGGTCTTTGTCGTTGTATGTCCACAAGAACGGTGCCCCGTCTCCAGGAAGCTTGAAAATGGTTGTCAGAGGGACGTTCTGCCAAGATGGGCTGATTGCCCAATGCCCGGCTGGCCGCGGCGCGCGCGGATAGTCGAAACCGGGCGCGGCCCCGGTCAGCACACAATCCGTCACTGGAACATTGAATATCGATTTTTTTTACCGAAGGTCATTCGAATCTTGAGTTCTTGAGAGTAAGAACGGCTAGAAACATATTGGGTTGAAAGCAGCCGACTTCGATTTTGGCAGCCAGTGCTTATCTTACAACATATATTATGTTTCCGTTGATGGGGCATATCACATTACACAAACAGAATCATCCGAGTACTATCAAAATGCAGGTTCTGGCACGCCAAGCGGAAAGTACGTCGTGGTAAGGATGGAAGTCATTCACTTTGTTCGAGGAAACTTCCCTCACAAAGGCGTCATTATCCTGAAACCGTTTTTGAAACTATAGCTGCCCCCCTGGTGAATGGCTACGCTCACTCTTTTTGGACAGAAACCTCGGTTCTTCTTCTAATTCACTTGGCTCGATTGCTCAGTCCTTTCTCGTTTCAGATATTACAGGCATGGTGATTGACAGCTGACTGAAACTCTTTTGCAGAAGATGCACTGATCACCTCGACTCGAGTCTCTTACTTACGTACACTCTTCTTTTTAAGAGAATTTTTTGCATCGGATGGTATATAAAAGCATAGACCAATCTCTCCCCCGCAATTCATCACAATCGAGTGTCATTAAAAGGTGCTTCTTCCCCACCTTCGAAGCTTGACGCTGTCGAGCCCCAAATAGCCCAGAGATCAATACAAATGAATTTTGGTGACCGGAACATGACGTCGAACAGGATTTTTGCAAATCCTGAACTTCGCACCGGACGACGTGCTTGCCTTGGTCAGTTCAGCGTGGGCAATGAAGTCAGGGTACTCACGGTGAGTTGGTGGGTTCTAATTCGGCCCTGCATCATGTGTGCCGTCGTGAGCCTTTACAGTAATGGATTAGGTACTCGGTCAAATACTCGATCAAATACACCCCTTCGCGAGGGTTTTTGAATCCGACCTGCAAGTAATTATTCTTCGAGGCAAGAGAGGAAATAAAACCTCGCTTGCGTTGCCCTCAGGTCTGTTTCAAACACGATATGAAAGTGAAACAATCCATATGTTTGATGCAAACACAGACCAGCTTCAGCAGAGAGAACTTCATAAAACATTAAGGGCAGGGCTGCCCACTTCGTCATCTCATGCTCATTGCCCAACAAGAACGATGCGATCTCGTCACTTGTGAGATTGCCTCTTTACAAGAGTATTCTAAGAGGGCGTGACAAGAATTCGTACTGCGTTTGTATTGCGTATCGGCCGTAGGTTGACTGGCTGGGCCATGAGTGGACTACCACGTTGGGATCACAGGCCACTCATCCGGCTTCCAATGAATTTAGGATCACACGAGCCGGAAGCAAATCGGGTCCCGCTGACAAGGTGGTCAAGAAAGCACTGCTTGAAGGCTGCGTATATTTACTTCAACGGGAACCGCTCAACTATCGTCTTGGTGTGTCAACGCAGGACAAACTCGGAGGACATTCTACATCCAATACGAGCTTGCAATCTGCGTTTATGCAGACCTTTTCTTGATACACAGCGAAGAGAACCCTCTTTGGAGAAGCGTAGCCTGCACCTTTGTACGAGCAAGGGCGAAGATGCAAGTGTCCTCGTTTTGACCACCAGCTTGAGTGGCTGTGGCCACGAGTCTTTTGCCGTCGTTCTAAGCCTCTCTCTAGTACTGGTGGGCACTCTGCGTACGCAACTGTGAGCATCAGTCCTTTTGCCTCTGTAATTCCTGGCTTTTTCCCTGGTGGCTGAGTGTCTCGCTTGGGAGCTTACTTTAGTTCCTGATGGCGCAAAGGTGATCGCCTCTGGGAACGACCGGAGCGCGATGCCTACCGAGGACTAGCATATTCTTGCGGTGCCGCTGAGGCCTTCTTGATGTCTTCCACGATGTTCACGAATCAGAAAGACCTCATGGGATGATCTGAGCAGAATCAAACTCTAGACTATGCCGGCCTCTGTTCTTTGTGTCTCTGAAACGTTTCCGTGCCAGTAACGGGTGAGCAGGTCACGAGATTGTAGGGCGGATGGTTCAGCCAGCCGCAATCCGATGGCACTTGTCGATGTTTGTGAACCATACCTGCCACTTATGGGTGATGACGACCAAATGAGTTTCCTGGTGGGCTGAGCAGCCTTTCAGTTGCAAAGCTGTCCCTTACAGAGCCATCGAGCGGAAGGAATTTGCACTGCACACCTCAGTGAGAGATGCTCTTGTAATGAAGGAGGGTTTTGCTTTAGGATGTTCGAAGTCAAAGATGGCTTTTCCGGTGCACTTTCGGAAGGTCGGGACTGTAACTTTATTATGACCCAATTGTACGTGCGTAAGACAAATTCATGGATGAGAATTGGGAGGACCCGCGTCTCAAAAGGAAAACGCCCTTGTAGTGTAGATTCCGTCTCGTCCAGAATTGACCCCTAACTGAAGTCGCTCCTCCGCAGAGGCCGACAAAGCTTACTCCTTGAAACAGCTTCGTTTGGCAAGGATGGATGAAGAGGGAGACGGCTCAACTGTAGGAAATTCGCCGCCAGAAAGTTCATCATTCTTCTGGTCTACCAAAGTGTCAAAGGTCAATGATGATCAAAAAGGAGCCGTGCAAGCTCATCGAAGCGAAGAAGAAGCCGAGGAGGGTCTTTCACGGGCACAGAAGCAGCAAATCATGAAGACGATCAGGATTGAGAGGTTCAGCAAAAGTAGTAGTGAAGTAGGACGAGTATGGTAACAAGCAAGCAATAGGGTACCAGTAGCTCCAAAAGAAGAAGAGTAATTGGAGCGGATTGTTGCACGAGATCGAGCTTCTCTTGAGAACCGTGCAAGTAAAGCTTTGTTCAAGGACTACATTGAGCTAGGGGCGCTTTGGACCAAAACGTACCCCAGCTTGGCATCTAAAAAGACGCTATCGGGCCAGCAGGTTGGCAAAAATTGTAGGGACGAAGAGTCGCCAGTGCTCAGGCGTAAGAAGTCTTGCGGTCGTCATGGTTTTTGGAAACTGTTCCGTTTCCTCTCAACCCCTGAATACGTATATAGCTGCTCAAGTTCAGTTTTATATGAGTAGACGCGCCATGATGCAGTCATACTTTCTTTGTTGCTATCCTATCCATGTCGGCTCTGCTCACAAATGGTACTAAAATTGTCGGAGCATTCCCAGGTCAACGTGACGGTAAAAATGGCGGTGCACCATTGATTGATAAGAAGGCTTTGAAGCCGGCGCGCGCTGACTAAAAGGACTGACGTTATGTATCACAGCGTCCTCTCGATCTCGATCCGTTATCATGCACCAACTGTAAATTAGCTGCGATGAGTCCATGGCCGCACGCATGCCAAAGCTACAACTCGAAGAATCATGCAATGAGCAGGCGGCTCCGATCGAGCCTGAGTCGGTCGGAGGACCAGTTGGTTAAGCAGGACTGAGTCACTCGACTCACTTAAGCAGTCAACGCAGACGGTTGTACTGATTTTGTATCATGCATGTGGTATGCTGTGCACATGCACGCATGTTAGCACGGCAAGCATATAGCAGCTAGCCGCATCACAGTATGCGGGTCGCCCATACCGTACCTGCACACTGCATGCAACAATTTGAGCCATGAAGGTTGACAACAGCGATGGACTCGTAAATTTAAAAACATTTCAGAAGGGTTTGCTCAAATTCTTAGTAGGATTGCAGTGTCACATGGAAAGTCCAAGCCCGGATGGACATACGGCAAGGACACTGAGGCGGTATTAGACTCAATGGCTTATAAGCAAACATGCAATCGTCTATTTTGCTAGTTAACATCGCCTCCAGAACAGTTTCTCCTCATTCTTGAGCCACAGGCACTACAACCCATTTTGTGTCTCTTTCACAGGCCACGGCTATTCACAAAGAATGGCGGCCTATGTCAAAGCCAAAGAATCATATCTGTACATACTGCAAATGCAGGCTCTGTCCCTTTACAACAAGTCTAACCCCTACTATCTCGCAAAGAACCGTAATTCCCTCCTTTCTTTCCGCCTCTCCTGCTCCGGTCCTGGCCGCACCACATCCGTCATGACTAAACGGTCTCGCCCCTCCGCTGACCTCAGCCACGTCAGCAGCTCGGACCCGGTGAACGTCACCCGACCCCCGTTCCCGGCGACCAATCTCACCGGCACCCCTAGATTATCCAGGAGCTGCCTTACCGCCACTTTCACCGGGGATGCCCCCGCGCGTGTGTGCTTCCCCCATCCGGTTACGATTGTCACTTCCGCCGGAATCTTGGCGCCCCACGCGAGGGCGGTCCGGATCTCGGCTAGCCACTGAAGCACCATCGTTTGCGCGGCTCCGACGCCCATTGAGTGCAGATCGAGCTCCCAGCACGTATCACGGAACGAGCAGAGATCCGATTCTAAATACGCGCCACTTTGCCGAGCGGTCGTGAGCACCCGGTTCGCCCGCGCTTTCAGCCCGAACGCCCACAGAACGTCCAACAAAGCGTTGAAAAACGACCGCCGGATTGCCCGGTTGTCTCCCCCGACCTTCCGGAAAAGCCGCGCCGCATTTTCCCACAGACCCGCCTCCCCGGGACTCCCCATAACCAGCCGACATATCGCCAACTCCACATCTTTCCCGGACTCGTTCAGAACGTACAGCAAAACGAGCGCCTCTTCCCACGTGCTGCATTTACTGCACGCCGTCAAGAGTGCCGAGTACGTCACCGTCGTTGGCGCGCAACCCCCCCGCTGCATCTCCCGGAACAGCTCCGCGGCTTCCTTGTACTTTCCGCCCCGGCCATACCCGTCCATCAGAGCACTATAATGCAACGCCGTCGGCTTGAACCCGGCTTTCTTCATCCGACTAAACCACACCCCTGCCTCCGCGCACCGCCCCGCCTTCGCAAACGCGTCGATCAGCGCCAGGAACGTCACGTCCGTCGGTTCCAGCCCTTGCGACGTCATCTTCCCAAACGCTGACTCGGCAAGTCCCGGCTGACCGCCTTTTCCGTAGGCGTCGATCAGAGCGGTGAACGCCCAACTGTCCGCTTTACACCCCGCGCTTTGCATCTCCTGAAACATTCTCTCCGCCTCCTCGCAAAGCCCCTCCTTCCCGTACGCGTCAATCATTGCCGTGTACGTGATGACGTCAGCGACGAAACCTCGCTCGCGCATCTCGGCAAAGAACGCCTCAGCCTTGCGCGTCATCCCGTTCTTGGCGCACGCGTCCATCAGCGTGTTGTACGTGACGACATTTGGCGCCCCGAGGGGATCCCTCTTCGGATCGCCCATGTTTCGCAAGATCGCCTCGGCCTCCTCTATGCACCCCGCCTTGCACAGCGCCGAAATGAGAATATTCGACGTCACCCCGTTCGGTTTGCACCCCTTCAAGCCGTTCGCCCCCGTTTTCATGTCGGAGAAAATCTCCAGCGCTCTGGAGTACTCTCCCCCCCGGCACAGCGCGCCAATTAGTGCATTGCAAGTGACGGTGTTTGGTCGGCAAGGGCCGGTCTCGGTCTTCATGTGGTTGAAGACAGCGAGCGCCTCGCTGAACATTTGGACGCGGCCGTAGCAGTTGATGAGCGCCGTGAAGGTGTAGTTGTCCGGTTGCAACTTTTCGAGGAGGATCTCCTACAAGAAGGGGTTTTGAAAAAAACTGAAGTTGGAGAAGCAGGGAGAGATCAAGTTGGGAGGTATGTAAAGAAGATTCGAGTTGAACATTTGCCCAGCTTCCACAGCCGACTTGCTCTGCAACGACTGAAGCGAAAGTCTGACTCGCTGGCTGACCTTTCTACACATATCTTTAGCTTTGAGAGGTTGGAGTCGACTGTTGCATCAGAGGCAGGAGTTTGCAACACTACGCTCTTCTGAGAGGGGAAGTTTCGAGGTTTCTTGAATGAAACCCCTTTCAAGCCATCCTAAACTCAAGATAAGGTACATGTTCGACTTCTAAAATCACCAAAGCCCTCAAGGGTACGACCAGCTCTCGAATCCGTCCAATAACAGCAAAGAGCAGGTACCACAGACAAAAAAGTTGTGGACAGGAGCAGACAAGAACGTTTCCTGTACCATGAGTCTAAGATCCAGCCTACGAGTCGAAACGTTAGAATATTAAAAGCAAGGCAGCGCCACATCTCTCGAAAATGAATAATATGGGCTTTGCCCGAGCGATAGAACCTTCGAAGCTCCCAACTTTGCACAAGGAAGGCACTTTCTGCTGCCGATGGAACGGCACCGAAGTCGCTTGCGAGGAGAGTGCTGCTTCACTCTTGCTTGCCCCCGCTTTGGTGACAAATCAGCCAGGCAGTAGGTAGAACCAAGCCCAAGCACCCCCGAGAATACACAGACTCCCGGGAAATCACATAGAGCGCTCTTTACCTGGAAGAGCAATGTGACCAGCTCTGCCTGCCCGTGCTTTCCCAAGAAGTTCATCATGCCCGTGTAGAAGCGCAGGTTGGGGCGGTGCCACGCCTGCTTCTTCATCCAGCAAAACATCTGCGCAAGATTCGAAATCCAACAAAGGGTCAGCAGTTGATGTAGCAAACTCGTGGGGAAGAAGGTCGAAATGACGACAAGGACGCCCCGTGATCACAGTTCAACATGAAAGGATACAACGACAGGGCGAAAAGAATCACAGGCAGTACTCTACCTTGAGAGATCGGAGCAACTTTGAGCACACAAAACGGAAAGAACCTTTCACAGCACGGGAGCTCTTACTACTCAGATGAAATAATTGTAAGCAACCGCTTCACCACATTGTAACGCTCTCTTGAATGGTCCTGAAAGGTCCTCATCACGTTAACCACGAAAGAACGTCCTTGATGAGATCGATGAAGTAGGAGAAAAAGGGAGACAGGTGCGGCAGCCAAACGAGTCCCAGAAGAAGTGTGCGATACCAAGAACTCCTCACACTTTGATATCTGATCTGGATTCAAAGAATATGCCCCGCAGATGGCGGTTACCAGAATCTGAGTGATTCCATGACATATAACCTGTAGTATTGCTGCAAAAGATGTCCAGATCTGCTCAAGACCAGTAAGGGGCAACAGCACCACTTTAGTTGAGTGCTGTCCCAAGCTGTTTACAACCACGAGAGTCCCAATCAAGCACCTGAGCAACAGCTTTCATCTGCAACTGGACCCCCTGAAGCACACACAAACTAGCCGCTAAGACATCTTGGCCCCTGGATAATATCTTGCCCCCTTGGATAATCTGCGACTCGTTCTTCCCAGCCCAACAATCAACAAACAAACCCACTCACATGGGAACACCGTCGCCAGTCATGCCGCTTCTGCAGCGCGGTCACGGTCGCAATCACGTCATACTTCCCCATGTGCACCCCATACACTCCCATCACATCGCGCACCGCCTCCGGTGCCGCGGGCCGCCTTCTCAGCGCCCTAATCACGTCCTCGACGATATCTCCCGTGCCCTGAAACTCCACCGGCGCCGCCGACTTATACGACCCCTCTTGCGCCGAGGGGCTCGCGCGAACCCTGAGCTTAGGCGTGTTCATCCCCCTGCCGTGGAGCACAGGGCTGCTGCGCGAACCTTTCCGGGGGGGTTCTGGAAAGTCGTGATCGGTGTCCCACCCATGCTGCTCCATTTCTTCCTCGTTCGGCCACCGCTCGGGGACGGACGGGCCCCTCCGCCGACGGGGCATGCTCACGGGCGTGATCCATCCGATCGCAGGAACAGAGTCCAAGGACGCGTCAAAAGTTTCTTCCGGAAATAGTTTTGGTTTGCGGCCTGATTGGGGGTTTCTGCTTGAGGCTGGCGGTGCTTGCCTCCCGAACTTAGGGTTTGGCCGCACGCGAGGTTTGGAAGCTTGGGCGGGCCTTTCAGGGGCTGGCATAGGGGCAGCACGGCAGACGAACGAGCCTGATCTGTAAGGAATGCGAAGGGTGGGACTAGGCAGACTTAGGGGGAGCTTGTTGACGAGTGGCGTGCTTGAAAGCGGCTCAAAGCACTGCCTGCCGGGAATCAGTGGCAGATGTGCGAATAGCGTGGAGCTCAAAGCCATTGTTCTTGATCCCAAAAAACCGCGCTTGCAGTGAAGCCGACTGAAGTTCTAGAAACTTCTGCGAAGCTCGTACGCCGGGTGAGATGAGCTGCCTGTCAACAAAGTGCTGCAAAATCCTAGCATCGCTCACCCCCCGATCCACCGCCTCCAAGTAGGAGCCTCAGCAACTGTGCACCAAAGACTCATCAGGCTCCATGATCCAGTATATAAGAGCATCACATCGCCAGCTTGCCTGCCTTCCTGTTCACACACTTGAAGACCCTGCCAGCACCACAAAAGCCACAAAAGTTGCGAAAAGGAAGGATTGAAGCAGATTGAAGCCCTTGAAAAAGTGCACGCAGAACCATTCGACCAACACGAAAAGTGCTTTGATTCTTGAAAGAAAAGGCCATCTTTTGGCCACGTCACCGTGCAGCGCGGTAATGGGTATCTCCGGTAATGGTTTGTTTCGCACTCCAAAATTAGGGTTTGCATTGCAAGCTGCATGCCCCGAAGAAGCCCGCACAAGTTGCCACGTCGAAGGGTGCTCATGCTGCTTTGCTAAGAGGTGCTTCCACACTTCCTCTGCCAATTCCACCACCTAAGGCTAAGTAAAAGGTGCTAGCCAAGGAAGAGTGGTTGGCACGCTGGTTGGTGGAGTTGATGATTCTCTTGCTGAAGCTTGTGCAGCTTGCCCGCTTCGTGCGCTGCTAGAGCTGTTGAATTCGTTGTGGTCGGATTGTTTGGTCTCTAATTCGGGGATCAGACGCCTTCAGTTTGGGGATCAGGCGTACCTTTGCTTGGAGGCTCGCTAACATGGCGACCTGTTTAGCTGGAGTGCCAGCCACTGGGAGTTCCTTCTTCCGCACGTCCGTGGCAGTGCAGGGGCAAGCAGCTCCTTCTACTTCCGAGTCTAGCGCACAGACTTCCTTCACTGGTCTCCAAGCCAGGAAGCGAAGTGCCCCAAGGCTTGGTTTAAACTCCTCCTTTCTGGCCCCTTTGGCTCCGGGCATAAGCTATGGGCGCAGTAGGAGCAGCATCCGGCACCGGCACAGATCTGCCACCGTGGCCCTTTTTGGAGGCCATGTAAAAGTGTCGGAGATTAGATCTCCCCAAGACTTGATAGACCAAAGCGCGCATGTGACTCAGGATGTAGGGAATGCTGTAAGGAAAGTATTTGAAAGCGCATCAGGAAAGGAACCGGTCATGATTGCACAAGAAGCTGCAGCTAGCTTACAGGACGTCGGTGGGCGCCTGGCATCAATCCTGCATGTCGATGAGCTGTCAAACACTGTCGCAGGTCCAGTCAGTTCCCTCCGCGCATTCGCTTCTTCACTGCCCCCCTTAGATCTGCCGCACCCGACCTTCCTGCAAACCGTCGGCCTCACTGCCCTTGGGACTGTTCTTACAACCGCCGCCCTTTCCAATGCTTATAGAATGAAGTCGGGTGTTGAACTTCCAGAGCGTTACAATCCAAAGGCGATTGCAGCCTACTTTGAGCAGCGGCCCGTCGATGTCATGCTGAGGTCAGCGAGCATTTTGAGCCAGGTATCAGTGCTGGTGGGGGCTATTTACATAGACATCCAAAGCGGGAAGAAGGAGCTGAATGAGCCGCTGAGGGCACGTCAATGCCGCGAGCTGATCACCAAGCTGGGGCCGACTGCGATCAAAGGTGTGTTTTATTTTCACAGGTTCATGCCAAATCGCTGCTGCATTTGTCTTGCATAGATTGTGGTGGACAAAAAGCATTGGTCACTTTCTATTTGGGTGTAGAAGCAACACATTTGATTCCTGTCCTATGCCTACTTGTTATCCCGGAGGTTCACCAACCTTGGGGTGTCTTAGTACTGAAAGCATCAAGCTGGAAGGTTGTTTTCACGCCGCAGGGCTTGTCCTCATAGTTTGCCTTTTAATCATACATCTGAGAGGTGTATGGACATGTACAGCAGACCGATAATATCATCAGTCAGTAGTTAAAGTTTGCAATGTTGTTCCATCTTGACCGCATGTTAAAGTGGGGTGATGCAACGCGCATTCAAGTGGTGTCAGTACAGAGCAGCATGCCCTAAGGCCAGACAACATGCTTTCAAGGGGGTTATTGGACTAGACGCCCAGATTGAATACAGTGGTCATGCATTGTGATTTTGGCGCCTTCAAAAACTTTGCATGTTCCATGCCCTCAAGTTCCTGATTGAAGCTATCTACCGACTGGAACCAGAGAAGAACTGGATGATGATGCCTTTGGCATTGTGAGGTTTAGGGAACTTGTTGCGCATCGCTATCAGATTGATCATGTAGGTCCTTCCTGTATGCACAATGCATCAGCCGCCATAGACTTGGGCAGGCAGTGGAGTCTTTATTCACTTTCCGTTACACCGAAGTTATCTGGGAACGTCAAAATGGGGTCCTGCTCAGTGCGTCTGTTGCAGTCGTGTGCTCTTGTGCTCTTTTGTGCCATGCAGCCATGCCGAGTCATACAGCCATGCATCTCAGAACAAGGATAGGTTTGATATGGGTTCATTTTGGAATTTGATTGGATTTGTCCAATCAATCACTGCTTCATGACATCACGCCGGCTATATCTTTTCCGGAAGCTTGTTAGTGGTCACTGCTTTTAGAGTGGCGCCACTTATTTTATCCTGTCTCAAAAAGCTGCTCGGGACAAGTCTGACAGTTGTCTTTCACTAAGTGTGTGTGAGAAGAGGGCCCTCTGAGTTGGCCAGGCTCTATGCGTCTTTCTCGACATTGTCAGCCCAAGTGGATCCTGCATAAGCTACCCAAAATTGACGACATACCCGGTTCAAACACCAACATTATTTTATTGCTCATTTTGCGCAGTCGGCCAGGCGCTGAGCATCCGTCCCGACCTCCTTCCCCTCGCCTACCTGGAAGAACTTCAAACTTTACAGGACCGAGTACCTCCCTTCAGTGACGAGGCTGCAAGGAAACTCATCGAGGAGGGGTTAGGTTACCCTGCCGAAACCCTGTTTTCGGAACTGTCGCCCGAGCCCGTTGCGGCAGCGAGTTTGGGCCAGGTTTACAAGGGAAAGTTGAGAGCAACTGGAGAGACGGTGGCCGTCAAAGTGCAGCGGCCGGGGGTGTTGGAGGAGATCTCAAGGGACCTCTATGTGCTGCGGATATTGGCTGCAGCGGCAATGAACCTGAAAATCGCAAACAGGTAGGATTGACAAATCTGGGTCTCTTCTCCTCGGTTTCAAGAATGTGTTTGGATACATTATGCTTCATCAAAAAGTTGCAACTCAGAAGGGGGCGCTGAGAGTCCTTGGGTTGGTGGTTTGAGATGCTGGACTTTTGGATCGTGGTTGTCAGAATCACGCAGCACAGTGTTTCTCAGTTTTGGTGTAGTAAGGAATGAAAAGTGTTTTGCAGAGAGTGTCACTAGCACCTATCATTTATCACTTCTAATCTCGGGGAGCCTGACGGTCTGCCCTCGATGTGCTTCCCAAAAGGACACGTAATGTGTAAGCTCATCTTGCCATTGCTTGCTTGCAGTGACCTTGTGGCTGTTCTTGACAACTGGGCTGGGCGCTTCTTCGACGAGTTGGACTACGTGCAAGAGGTACGCACTTGGATCCGCTTTGAAACCAGGCACCGACCATCCGAGTTTCCGCCTCAATGTCAAGCCCCTTAAGTTTCTGCGTGTCAAAGCTGTTTACTTGAAGATTGGTCTTCGCTTCTGAGGCGTCGCGCCAGCTCGAATCGTTGCGTTGAGACGAGTTGGTTTTAAATGCTTCGAAGACTATGCAGTCAAGCCCTGATATTGCAGTCTAGCTGTTTCGTTGGTTGCATGTATAGTCACTTTGTCAGCGGTAGACTCAGCTATTCGTGGCGCCGAGTTCCTGACCTGCCCGCATGTGTCTGCAGGGGCGGAATGCCATTCGCTTCGAGCGTGACATGGCGGCGCTGGCCAATGTTACGGTCCCCAAGGTCTTCCCCGAGTACACCTCCCGCCGAGTAAGTCCGCACGTGTCAGTCTAGTCACCGTTTCACCTGGCATTTCTTTTATCTCTCAGAGTGGAATTCGTTTGTCAATAAAGACGACAAGTCTGTTCCTCGTAGTAAACATAGGCGTAGTTCGTGGCCTTCGCACGTCTTGAGTCGACGACTTACTCCGCTGAACATTGCATCGCAGAAGCGCTAACAGTTGTACTTATACCCAAAGTGGTTTCTGACGTCCACCGGCTTTTGATCTAGCCAAGGCGGTAAAATGAGCCAGTGACTAGGAGGCTAGAAGGTCAGTCATGAAGAACTCTATTCCGTTTCGCGGCAGGTCCTGACTACAGCTTGGGTGGAGGGCGAGAAGCTGTCGGAGAGCCGGGCCGTCGATGTTGGACCACTCGTGACGACCATGCTCAATTGCTACCTCATCCAACTGCTCGAGTCCGGCTTCTTGCACGCTGGTGAGGCATCCCTCTCGTTCGTAGCTACGGCGCTTTGCACTCAATGAGCAAGGTTTCAGGGGGTAATTAGGTCTGCGGGCCTTGACTATGTCTCCGGACGTTAATCCGGTCCCTGCCCTTGAGGGTTGAAGCGGGAATCCCGATTTTGGGCTGGCCCGATCTGGTGGAGCAGATGATGTCGGTCTTACTCGAATGATTGAACCGTCCGCAGTGCGTCTGCTTGAAAGCCTGGATGCTTGTTCCAGCCGCTTGTGGTCGACTTGCTGTGTCGCATGCGTGACCCGCGCCTTTCAACAGCTTCTGGAAACTAGGATTGAGCCAGAAACAACCCGCGTGGGGTCTAGACAGTGCTTTTACCATGCTCTTCTGATTTTTATCCTCATTCTTTGCAGACCCTCACCCCGGCAATCTGCTCCGGACTCCCGACGGCAAGCTGTGCGTTTTGGACTTCGGGTTGATGACTGAGGTAAGCTGCCTCCTTTCAAACATGGTTTTCAATGGGAAGGCAAGTTGGGAAAGGCTTTAGAGTTTGATGCAATTTTGGACTCTGTTGTAAGAAGTGCTCCGGTTTAACTTGCTTCTAGACTGCCGCGCATTGGAGAGAACCTTGTCTTCTTCTCTGTACATGTTCTACAACTGCGGAAGACGACTTCAGTCCTTGCCTAGGAAACGTCTTATGTCGTCGGTATCAGGCCATAGAACAGTTCAGGCTTCGCGAAGAAAGCCAAGCCAATTTTTGCGGCCTTGAGGTTTGGTATTGATCTTCCGCCAGGAGTGTCCGTCAAGCAAGACGCCAAGCTGACGTAAAAGATGCATCACTAAGTTGACCATCGTTGGTCTTTCCAGGTGACAGTAGACCAGCGGTACGCTCTCATTGAGTACATCTCCCACCTCGTCAACAACGACTATGAGGCCGTGGCGGGGGACCTGGTCCACCTGGGATTTGTCCCCCCCGAAATGGACGACCCCGAAAGCGTTGCGTCAATCGTCGAGCCGCTGAGCAAGGTGCTGGGGGAACTGGTGAAGGGCGGCGGGGCAGCGAAACTTAACATCAATCAGGTGGGGCATGAAATTGCTCTTTGGGGGCTTATTTTCGAGGGTCTGCGCACGGGCCTGACTGCTATCCTGTTGGGCTCTGCGATGGGGGTTCCTAAGTTTCCCCTTGTGTAAACCCTTCTTCCGAGTCTGCTTGTATGAGGGTCCGGGTTTTCGGAGCCGGATGGAAGCGGGTTACGGGTTGATGTCACACGGCGAGAAAGTTGTTAAAAAAGGGCTTCAGAGCTTCCGCAGAGTTTCATGTGAATACCTCAGTACAGCCAGTCCTTTCCGTGTCAAGTGGAGTTTCTGAGAGCATGTTCGAGAATATAACCACAGAATTTGAAGGAGGGGACGCATGAGTTAGCGCTTAGTAGGGAGGATCTGTCCGTATCCATGCTTCCGTTTCCATGTCTCTCGCCCTTATGAAGTTGGATTCACCTGAGTAGCAGCTTCTTTCCAGCACATCCAGTCAAGTCAGATCGATTTGTTTACACTTCGATAAGCTAGCGCTCCCTTTACTCCTGCGCTGCTCAGCCTACTTTTTTCCAGAAAGCTAGACTATTAACCTGAAGACATATTTTGTTTCTCAGGTGACCGACGACTTGTCACGGATGTCCGAGAAGATCCAGTTCGTCATCCCGCCATACTTCGCGCTCATTCTGCGCGCGTTCGGTGTGCTGGAAGGCATCGGGCTTGCGGCGGATCCCGATTACGCAATCGTGGAGGAGTGCTACCCGTATTTGGCGAAACGGCTTTTGACGGACGACAGCCCGCGCGCGCGGAGAGCGCTCCGGTACTTCCTCTACGGGCGGAGCGCCCAGTTAAATGTGGAGCGAGTGGAGGAAATATCGGCAGGTTTCCAGGTGAGGGGATGTTCACGAAGATCACGAAAAGAGAGAAAAAACTACTGTAGCTCTGCTTTGGTTCGGAGTCCACTGTAGACAGAAGTTCAGCGGATTGCACAGCCCCAAGACAAGGGCCCGTACCCTCCCCATCGTTTGAGCTGTATACTTTCGAAGTCTTGTCTCAAACCCTTCTTCGTCAAAACGCGGCAGTTTCGAGGCCGTCTGGTGTTTGTCTTCCACAGCGGTGTTGATCCTGTCTAATCTTGCAACGCGTTCCGCACGTTGCCTGGCCAGTTACATGTCGGAACTTCGATCCGGATTTTCTGGCAGGTTTCTAGGGGCCTCCAGCCCTGCAAACGAAAGTAGTCGAGCGCGGAGCTCAACAGAGTGCACAGCTCATGACCGTACCGCTCCGTATTCCGTTCTTACAGACGTTCCGTGCGCTGATGGCTCCCGTCGCTCCGCCGACGATTGATTCGCATTTTGTGTTCCGTTGTGTATGCGAATATTGTCCGTTCCGTTCCGTTCTTGCAGACGTCGCGCTGAGGGCCGTCGACCACTGCCCGCCCCCGAGCAGCGGAAGAATGGCGAAATTGGCACCTTTCCGTTGCGACATCAAAAGTGGTTCCCTTTTGTTCTTGCAGACGTTCCGTGCGCCACGGCTCCGTTAATCCGCCCAACGACTGCTGCCGAGCAGCGGATCAAAAGGGCAGCTCACGTCTTGTTCCGTTGCGTTTCTAACTTCGCCCCGTTCCGTTTCTGCAGACGTTCCGCGCGCTGATGTTGCCCGTCGGGCCGCCGACGACCGCCGAGCAGCGGAAAGAGGCGGCGACGCGCATTTGTTCTGTTACGGTTTCATAATCTGTTCCATTCCGTTCTTGCAGACATTCCGCGCTCTGATGTTGCCCGTCGGGCCGCCGACCTGCCGCCGAGCGGCGGAAAAAGATGGCGACTTGCATTTGTTCTGTTACGGTTTCAAAATTTGTTCCGTTCCGTTCTTGCAGACATTCCGCGCGCTGATGTTGCCCGTCGGGCCGCCGACGACCGCCGCCGAGCAGCGGAAAAAGGCGGCGGTCGTGGATCCCGCCGCACGGGAGGCACTGAACGTCGTGTTCGCTCCGCAGGGCAGCTTCGTCCAGGATTTGCTGCTTCAAGGTGCGCCGTAGGTCGTGGCCTTTCGAGCTACTCTATTGCCTTTCCTCTTTTTGGGAAGTTTCGTCCAGTATATGCTGCTCACAGGTTCGCAGTTAACGCTGGCACTTTGTGCCACATCACTGGGCTTTCTTTTCCAGGGAAGTTTTGTCGGGAACTTTTGTCCTGATTATGACTTCTCCAGGTGCGGTATATGTTGCATATCAACGAGTTTGTTTTTGCCGATTGGCTCTTTTTGTTCGTGGCGGGTACTCTTCGAAACCCGGAAGAGTTAGAGTCCTTTTTGCCTTCAGCGACTCTTGCTTTTTGGTACGGACGAAGTTCTCGCTTCAATGAGTTGCGGCTCTGCGAGCTTCAATGACAAGATTGCTGTTTCGGGTCAATGGACTTTGCAGCCGTGAAAAGCTCACTTTTTGTACTTTCGATGTGTCATCATGAAATTTGAGAGTTGTTTTGGCTGCGAGATGCAAGGGATTCATGCCAGACGGCTCCACCGCTTCAGCCTTGCTTTTCGGAGGCGGATTCGATAAGGAGTTACCGTCGGTTCACATGCAGCGAGTCCAATCAGTTACCCCGTTCGACGGCAGTTTTTTGTCTGTCTGCTACGGGCCACTGGCCTGCTGCACCTTACACAAAGAGTTGCTACCGCTGCTGACAGAGTTCTGGTTCCAAACGCCAAACCCACCTGCTTCTCCTTTTGCAGAATTGGTACGCGCCACCGATGCTCTTTCCCGGGGCGCCATCGCCGAGTTCTGGCTGCGCGTGGCCGTTCCGGCCTCTCTTCCGGGGGCAGTTCTCGCCAACCGGCTGGGCCTCCCCGTGCCACGTGTCCCCGAACCGGGCACGTGGCCCCTCCCGCTGCCGGGCTACCTGTTCGGTTCCAACAGCTCGGTACCCACCGCCGGACTGACCGCCGAGGACCTGAAGGCGCTCAGCACGTCGAAACGCTTGTGGGCGCTTCTGCAGCCCACGTTACAGGAGGAGCGGTCGCCCCGCGAAACAGCGCAGTTCGCGCGGGAAGTGTGGCCGGTAGTGAACGAGTTACTGCCCGGGGTAAGGTATGCGACGCGCAAGTTTGCGCGGATGTTGTTCGAGCGGCAGGCGGCGCGTCTGGCGGCGGACCTCGAGGCTGCGACGAGGAGTCCGGTGGCGCGGCTCGGGGACAGCGGAAACGGAACGCTGAGGAGCGGAAGGGCGCTCGGAACTGGAACGGTGGATATTGTAGACGGCAGGGCGGCGCTTTAAATCGAGAAGGCTGAAGAAGGCTCAAGATATTGGATCGGGGAAAGCGGAATTTGACGGGTAAGACCGGAATGGTACAGGTTGTTGCTTGCATGACGGCGCTTCTCTTGTAGGGGTGGCCTCGGTTCCAAATGGGATGTAGTGATTGATGGAGACGGTCAAAACGAAGCCCTTAGGCGCAGGTTGAGAGAATTACGGAGGGACGTTTGTGAGTTGTGGGGGCGCCGTTTGACAGAACGCGTCTAGGCGTTTGGACGTCAACCGGGCTTTTCTGTCTAGTCTGGGACGAGGCGGGGGGCAACTAGAGCAGAGCGGAAACATGATCCGTAAGCCAACACGTGTTTGCCGGGGAAGTTAGCGGGCTCCTCAACAATCTCTGACTGTGCTCGGTAGTATATCGGACGGAGGGGCGCGTTCTGATCCGCGCTGTCGGGGTTCTTGCACGTTCCGGTTCCGTCCTGAGGCGGTATTGCAGTGGACAAGCTGATCGCTGACGACCTTACCCATCCAGAGCGAGTTGCCCGTGGGATAGTGTAGTCTGCGTCGAGGGAGCAGTCATAACGTTGAAAAGGGTGACGGTCAGCGTTGAGCGAAAATGGTCAAGAGGGTTGTTGTTTCAAGCGCCGTCATTGTTGAAGCTTCTTACGGCAGTCGTTGGATGCAAAGCAACGCGTGTGGAGAGGTGATTTGCGGTCGGAAGACACGGTAAAGCAGGTGTGTTGACTAAGCGAAAAGTTGAACATATTTGTCAAGTAAGATGGCTTGATAGCAGACCCAGCCGAAAGGAGAGTTGGGTGGCCAAGATAGCCCGGCCGCATAGATTTTGTACAGTCTAATCTTAGTCATAGATTGTCTTGACATTCTTCAATAGATACATGAAGCACTATTGAGCGAAGTTTGTGGTTGCCGGTTGCCAGGCCATGCTGCACCAATGTCATGCTCGATAAGCTCCAGGCGGATCCGGGTTGAGCGCATAGCGTATGGACATCATATAGGCATATAGCGTATGCACACGGACATATTTTGGCCCACTCTAGTTGCTAGTCTTGATGAGTCCAGGACATATATATCCTCGACTGCAAGGTTGCCTAGGCAACCTTTTGTAAGTTGCTGGTTATAGAGTAGGGCGCTCTGGCGCCATTGCATAAGTTGCCTCTGTCTTCATCTAGCGTCGAAGCAGAAGGTTCCCTGAGCAGCACACGGTTGCTCTTGTATAAGCACAACGATATCAACAAGCATGTGAGCATATGTAGCAACCGTCCGCTGCGACGTACCAACACAAAGCTTGCAATCATACTTACAAAAGGTTCACACCCGTTGCACATTGCTAGACGTAATCAGGACGGGTTCAGCGCAGCGCAAGCATTTGGTGCGCGCAGGTGGTGATGGCGCCAAGGATTCTGTCCATGCAGCTGCAACATTTAGTGGCTGCTGGCAAGGCTGATTTTGAGGGAGCAACTGGCAGCCATTATACCTGGCTGGTTGGTGCAGACCGGCTGATAAGATCTAGAGGTTGAGAGCACGTGGGGGCCTGGCAGGCTGCACCTCCAAGCATCGGGGGGCGCCAGGGCTGCCTGCAATGATCAGCGCTGCATCAACAGGCTGTGCAATGACGTCAGCGCTGCGTCAGCGGCTGTTTTGGGGCAATAAACAAGGGGTTACCCTAATATTAATCAACTCGGCTTATTGTTACTTTTCTTTACTTCGATGTTCTTCCTCCCATCGACAGGGCCCCGCCACCAGCTTGACGAACGTCACGACGGATGTGGCCGTTGTTGGCGGCACCGGCCTCTTCTCCGGCGCCACGGGTGCTGGCAGAATCCGAGTTATCCAGTTCACTCCCACTAGTATCCCAATTCGTCTCGCCTTCTCCTTCTAAGCATTGGCACCTCCACTCCCCGTGCCGGCGCTGTAAGCCTACTAGCAGCAACTTGCACCTACTAACTCTGAGCTAGAATTCCGTAGCAGAACTTAGAAGACAGAGCGTACGTTGTACATAATTTGCTGAAGACTGGATCGAATCATTTCCTGCCGACAAAAAGTAGCCTTGCGAAAGCATCTTAGTTGTCATCGTGTGCTATATGATCTCGATTTTGAAGGATCAATAATACGGTAGGTACCAGCTCCGAGGCGAGTCTGATAGACGCGTACTGGCAGCACTAGCTTGGACCGTCCGTTTGCTCGAAGTTTCAACCTGCTTCGACCGGGGAATGGGGACGCTTTTGGAGGGTCTTAACCTTTCCAAATTGCCATGACGCGAGCACTTAGAATCTTGCACAACACCACTAAATCATGGCCTATTCAACATAATCACCTGCTCAGTAACGGCATGCTTTGTATAAGAACGCTGGCTCAATAGTGTCCGCGTTCTCGTACTTATATTGAGTTTGCAGTACCAACCAGCAATATCGTATACACATACAGCAAACCATTCAATCCGCCGGGCCACAGTAAGCTGCAGTCCGGTGTCAATAGTGTCGGAGAAGTTAGCTAAAACAACCCGACTCGCCGCGGCGGCTCGGCGATAATGTAGGTCTCATTGATCTTTAGACCATAGCTCCATTACGGTTTTACAGTGCATGCATGAAAAGAGCAGAGCCTGTATCATTGGAGCCTCTAGGTATACATGTGCGCGTAGATCGTTTCACATGACAGATCTCGATCAGTCGATTATCTTTGCGATGCATCAGTGTAGGAGACTTTTGTCAATATTCTTACAAATGTGGGCCCCTCGTCCTTGACTTGCTACCACTTGCCGCAAAGTTGCGCCATATTATGGGGCATGATGCTGCTGCATGACAATTGATTTGCCGACCCTTTTTGCATGCATGATTGCAGGCGGCCGGCCTTTTCCCGAGCGATATAGAATCGTACCATGCACTTACCATACGGCAAATTTGGGCCGTGGGTTGCTGGTATGGCGCCCCTGATACTATTGGGTGAACTTCAGCCCTACGCCAACGTATTATCAAGCGCAAGCACAAAAACCTGAAACATAACGAGGGTCTTCCAATGCACAACCGTGTCTAGGTATCCATACGCTTTTCTTGTCCCAATTAATTGCCGACCAGCTCAAAAGCCTACTCTAAATCATCACTGACGAGAATATCCCCTTCCGCCAGATCTGTGAGTCCGAGGCTGGTTCCAAAAGCCATATATTCTAGCTATCTTGCACAACACGAAGGAGTTCATCGAACTGTTTTTGCCGTTTTTCAGGCCTCAGTGTTTTGGACTCGTTAAGGACAATTATGCGTGTTCTTGTCAGCAGAGCCATCTATCTATCAAAACAAAACCGTGTTCTCATTCCCTTCAGATTGCACCTCACTCGGCTGGAAGTCTCGATGGTTCACCATGGTCTGCCCTTTGATTTATTAGAACCAGCTGCTGATGAATTATACAATAGAAAACGACGCTTTGGCTTCGACCAAGTAAGAGCAGGTTCTCTATTTGGTCGGAAATCCGAGTCGTCAATGTGTCATGTTGTAGTTGCCGCGACCTGTGCCGGATCTTGCCGCCGGATTGCGCTGTCCAACTGTAGCAAAGATGCGACAATGCAGGTATGTCAAGCACCAGAAAGATTTGAACAATGGGAAAGAGAGGAGACAGCAACGAGAATGCAGAAAAGAGCAAAGGAGACTTACAACAGACAGACGTCTTAGACAAAGCGGACACATGCGACGGGAACGGAATTGTCTCCTCCACCTTTGTCGGTTTCCAGAATTATCCTTAACAGTTTTGGAAGCAACCAATGTTTCTGAGCGACTTATGAAGGAACCCCTGTGTTGGTAGCCCGTGCTATCTCAGAGGACTCGCTTCGAGCCTACAGAGAAAAATACGGTCGCGTGGAATTCGGGAACTTGACAAGCCATCTCATCACGAGTCTGACCGCAAACGGTTTGAACGAACCTTTTGAAGCCTGCTCTCCGCAGACGAGGTCAGGGGCTGCGGACTGAGAGCTGCGTAGTTATCCTTCGTCTGTGCCAAGCGTAGTTCCTCCACCTGTGATTGAAATATGGATACTGACTGTCAGTTGAGGGGTCATATGCCGAGATGTCACCAGCAGTGAACACCATAAGGAGATGAATGATCTTCATCAAATCACGTTTCTGTCCCTCAGAGAAGGAAAGTGTTCGGCAATACATCCTCAAAGCAATATCCTGAGCAAACGGTACCAATCGAATACCGTTCTACCAGGTGACAACCACTGCATTCGGGGTGCGCCCATTCCGGTTGGATTAAAAGAGCCACCAAGACATTGCTGTACCGAACTTGGACCTTTTAGCTTCCACGAGTAGCGTGGATTTCACAACGAAACTTTGTGTGCGAACAAGCGGAACTAAGCAGAGGGACAGGAACTGAGACCAATCTGCAAAGCACGTTTTGCTCCACCCTTCATTCGTCCTCAATTTGCCAGATGCAAGCAGGTTCGCAACTAACCTTGGCTTGCAGTTGCGCTTTCAATTGTCTCAACTCTGCCCTCCTCTCGACACTCATAGGCGACCCCTCCATTGCCGCCACATTTTGGAAGGTCAACCCCCTCCCTTTTACCCCCTCCGTTTCGGAGGCAGAATCCGCCCCCCAAGGCCCCCCCGCCTTCAATCGTATTATGTGCCGGGGCGATCGCCGAGCGTTCCTAAGCGTCCGCCTCTGAGGGCCCCTTTTGAAGCGTTCCCCCTCCACCAAAACGTGCTCCCCGGATCCCCCCCCCCTCAAGCCACTTTCTTGCGCCCCCCCCCAGGAGCTGCGCCGATCTTCTCCCTCAAAAGAGGGGTGGGCTGGACTCCCTTCTGGGAGATGGGTACGCGCCAAATGGCCCCCCTTTCTGGCCTCAAGCAAACTTCGGGGGAGGACTAGAGTAGGCAAAACGGAAGCGGGGCTAGAAGTCAGTGACTCTGTCGCTCGGCTTGATAAAGTGTCAAGTTCTCCACAGGTGTCTGTGTCGGGCGACCTTGACATCAACCTGGCCGCTTCCGGCGTCCGCGTCAGGTAAGGCGAGACCGGTGCAGACTGGTTAGCGCTAACCGGGCGCGCACTGGCAAGCACTAACCGCTTCTTGTGCCCGGGAAGGATGCTGATACCGGCAAAGGTTTCGATTTGGGTTAAGTCGGCAGGGGACAAGTTTGCCAGGGTGTCAGACTCATCGTACCCCGCTAACTCAAACGCAGCTGCGTATTGGGAGAGGTTTAGCGCCGCTAACCAGCTTGCGACATAGGACTGGGTTTTGGCGCTAACCCTGGGTGAACCCTCGTTTCCCGAGAGGGATGTCCGGCGGGCCTGGGGGTTTTCGAAGGTGATTCGGTTGCCCGCAAGTTCGCCTTTCAGGGGATTGGAGAAGCTGACCGTGCCGCATTTACCAACAGCCAGAGAAGGGGGCATGGCGGAAAAAAGCGCTCCAGAGGGTCTCTCGATTGCGGCCCTCAAAGCGTCACCCTCTAGTTGTGAGGCTTTGGTTGGCTCCAGGGAAAGTGACCTTGTTGGCCGCCTGAGTGGCCTTCCGGTTGGGGGGGTCTGCAATGGGGGAAGTTCACCCCCAGGGAGCAGGCCAGAGTATCCTTTCCTCGGGTCCCTGACAGCTGTCACATCCTCCCCTGCTGGGGTGATCTCAACTGTCAGTGGTGCCGACAGGGGCTTCTTAACGCCTGCATCTTGCCCCGCATACTCCTTGGTGTGAATGCTCACAGTGTCGTCCGAACCGGAGGCCTCAGGGGAGGACCGCACAGAACCAGCGGCCGCCCTCGCTGAGTCAGCGGTGACATCAGCGTGCTCGTGTTGCACGGCCTTGAAAGTTGGCGTCTGCTTGACAACGGCAATGGGGCCGCTGATTTGTTTGATTGGCTCCCCTGATGCTTCCCTTGAGGACGCACAACCCATTCTGCGCGGGGAGTCTAAGTGGGGTCTTCAGCTATTGCTGCGCTCGCGTGTCGGTAGTTGTTCAAACCAAATTCCTGCAAACAGGGATCTTCCAAGTGTTAGTGGCTTCTATCTCATAGTAACACTTCGAGTATACTCCTCTCGGAAGCTTCATTGCTGAAAAGTGCCTCTTTCTGATAGTGGTCATTGTCCCTATCCTAGTTTGATAATCCAACCGCCGAGCCTTCCTTTCCAGGCCTGAGGCAGCACTGTCAAAGGTAGTGTAAAGCAGCAACCATAATTCAGGCTCCCTTTTGGAGCCTACGTTGGCTTAAACAAAATATTGTTATTAATCGGTGAGAACACTCAGAAACCTTCCATAAAAGAGATATATAATCTTATCAAGAGAGCTGATTGAGCGTTGAAATTTCTGTGGAAGACACCACCAATTGCTCGGATGAGCGCTCCGCATAGAAGCCTGGTTTACCACCAAAGATATCAAGACTTTTGCAAGCATCCTGCAATCGGGCAACATACCTTTTTCTCAGTATTCAGCCCCAATGTAGCAAACGTCAGATCTCAGCATCGAATTCTTACCTCAGCTCAATCCAACATCAATAGCAAGTCTCCAGTCAAAGCCAGACGGCTTATGTTTTCATCATTTACTGGGCCAGCTAGCTAATCAGCTCTTATGTGTGAGGTGCCAATAATCTTTCATGTATTTCACATTGGACCCAGCTCATGAAAACCCCTCAAACTACGCCTGCGTAACCTCCAGGTCTCCCAATCAGGTCCCCTTGCCTGATTCTGCAGCGTCGCCCCGTATCCCCTTCTTCTGTTGCAAGGAGACCTCTTCCTTTCCCCATTCAAACAGTTGTAACAACTTCAGCTCAAACATGCTGCCCTTCTCCTCAGCTACCGTACAAACGCTGTGGTCACGTCAGTGGAGTCCTGGAAGGAAGCCATGAATCTGATGACGCATTGACAGGGGAAAATGTGGTTGATTCCGGAGGTTGCGATGGAGAAACCGCCGCACTCCGGTGTATACGGCGTACCATCCTTATGCGAATCGACGGCTGACGTTCCTCGGAAGGTTGCGTTTCACATGATGCTGGATGACGTGGCGACATTTGACGTCGCGGAGAGCATAAAAGTTAATGCCAGTGAATGGAGGTTGTACCCTATAGGAACTCGGACTAATCAGGTATAATAAGCGGCAGGTATAATAAGCTCGCAGGCCTGGGACGGGTGGGGTTAGTATGGGGGTTAGGGTGCGTACGGGTGCAGAGCAGGTAGATTGTTGGGTTAGGTTTTTTAGTGTACGGGAGCTTATTATACCTAGCTCTTATTATACCTAAACTAGTCCGTCATCCCTATAGGTATGAGGGGCCGTATATAGCCTATGGCACCAAGGGAGACAAACCGTCAAGGGAAGAGATTGAAGAGAAAGATTGCTAGATGGTCGGAAGTCGTCCTCACGAAATTCAGGCGGAACAGCTTGTGTGATCGGTGTATTGCGCAACTTCGAAGCACCATACATGTGTGTTCTTCGATCCTACAACCAGAACCGGTTTTTCATAACGCTCAGCCTATGGATATCCTGCCTGATGTAACGCGGGGGTTAAGCTCCGGCCTATAGCGCTCTCCCCGCTGTCTCCAAGGCATTCAATGGCGCCCACTGTGTTTTCGACCAAGGAAGCCCGTCGTCGGCAACTAGAGAGTGTGTGACGCAGGTTGTGTTTTGACATACAATGCACAATATCGAGACATGTTATGGCGTTCCAACAATCACATCCGCCATGTGATCCGATTGAGCAACCTGAGAAAAAGGTGCATGAAGTTCGAATCAAGTCAAGAATCAAATCGAGTAAACATATGACTGAATCCTTGTCAGTAGACCTGATCAGTGGGGCTGGAAGCATTGTGTCAGTCGGTGCAGGAGAAGGCTACGCAAACTTCAGATGATTCTAGAAGATCAACAACGGCAGTCATTGAAACTGAGTGGCAAGTGGCGCTTAGTGTACATGCAATCCTAATTAGGCGTGGCTCAACAGAATCTGATTGGGGGAACAACTATACAACTGCCTATCGACCCTCCCTCGGATCAAGCACTCCCGTTCCTCTTCCGCTACATGCAATCGTTGTTCGTGCATACGAACTCTCAATATCAGAGACATCCTGTACAAATCAGCACTCCCAACCAGCGCACTCGTGGCAATGTGCCCGGCGCTACGAATCCCAAATCCAGCTTCTCGCCAATTCGCTCCGCGAGCAACGCCAACGCAATAATGCAAGAGTTACCATCCATCGGCGTGTTTTTTTTGCAGAAAGGGCCAGCCGTAATGCGAACTTCGGCTAGTTGCCCTTCTTTGCCTTCAGGTCGCTGCGGCTCTTCATCCAAAGGACGCCCGGCTTGGACGGCTCGTCAGCCTCAACCTGCCAAAAAGGATACATCCCTCAGTACCCGGACAACCCAAAAGAACAGTCAAGCGGTCCCTTTTGTAACCCTTCAGTAGCCTGGCTCGAAGATAGAAGGAGACGCGTTCAGATTTACCGAAGGGGGAAACGAACTAAACATCTCGTTCGGACGAAAGTTGACACACAACCACTCTCGCTTCCATTACACTTCTCTTGAACAATTGCGACAGCAACCCTCGCCATACCGTCATTTCAATAAAGGCCGTACTCTTCAGTAAACTGTTGTGCCATACCGGCAGACCAGAACGTGGCATTCACGTAATTGCAGACCTTGATCTCCCGCCAAACGGCCCCGTAACTTATCGTGGAGGCAAAGGCCGAGAAGCAGAGCCAGCCCTGGCAGAAGCATCAAGCCAATCAATCACAGGCGTATCGTGCAAACGACACATGGCACTCACGTAGTTGCACTCCTTGATCTCCCGCCACATGGCCTCGTAGATGGGCGTCGTGTCCTTCTGATAGTACGGCCCGAGCACCGGCTTGATCGCCTCCGTCGCCTCCTGCGCGTGGTAGTGGGGCATCGTGGAGAACAGGTGGTGCGCCACGTGGGTGTCGGCAATGTGGTGGTGCGCTGCAGAACGACGTCACGCTGATGTCAGTGGGGCCCGAGAAGAGCATCCTTCACGAGGGGATCCGCAAAGGCATCGACCAATGGGTAACGGCAAAGGCCTCACTGAACTTTGGGATCAGCAAGATGCACTCGACGTGGCGAGTATGCCGCACAGACAGTCGGATTGAAAGCCCGTTCACTGTGGGGCACAATGGCCCACAGGAGGAGCGGCAAAAACTCAATGATGTTGAAAGTTTCATGTCGCGACTAAAAGCCAGAAGGACGCCTCAATTCCCCGGACCCAGTCCTTCCAAAGCTGCTCACATGACATTTCGCAAAAGAAGAGAACCGTCCAAACATAACCGACAAAATGCTCTCCAATGGTAAGGATGCGGTAGTTGCAATCGACGGTGGCGAGCTCCTTGCACGACCACTTCAGTGTCCCAAACGCTGTTCAATCAACAACCCACGGACCAAACCCGTTCCAGATGACAAACCATTAAGAAGAACAGTAAACAAAAGATCTTGCAAAAGCTCACCGATATTGAGGATGCCGTAGTCGCGATCAACGGTGGCGAGCGCCCCGCGCAGCCAGTCCCACTCCTTGTCCTTGTAGTGCGGCAGTGCGGGGTGCGTGTGCTGCAGGAATGTGATGAGCACCAGGAAGCTGTTGACCACCAGCAGGGGGGCGCCGTAAACCTGTAAGAAAAGTGGCGGTGTGGGAATGGTTGGAAGTCGACCGGCTGAACAGAAAGCCGTTGCATATGCTCAATATCGGCCTTTGATTGGTAGAGGAAGTGAATCAGCTGCAGGGTTGCTGAATTTTAGGGCTGTGCAGCGTGAGTTGTGTTTTGACAGCGCTGCAACGATTTCTCTCGCATTGACACGGGCAGGGTCCTGTCATTGATTCAGAGATTGATAAGGAGAGTCCAGTGCAAAGCGTCGAAATAAGTCGTGACAATCCTTAGAAGCAGACTCAAGCCCATGAGCGTAACCCACGTTTCGCAGAAAATAATGCAATGGAGCAGGGTACAAAGTCTCTGGCCGTGGAAGGCGTCTCAACTGTCACTTATTACGGAGGCCCCTAACAAGAGAGCGTCTCACCTTGAAGAGCCAAGCGCCGCCGTACAAGCCGCTCAGAGTGTAGAGCCCGTAGATCACTGCAACCAGCGCGAGATCGCTGACGAGGACGAAGAACTGCTCGCTCTTGTTGAAGATAGGCGACTGGGGGACGAAGTGGTTCGCCCAACCTTTGTAAGGGCGGCCGGTCGCGTTGGTGATGAGGTATGACGGCCTGGAAAAGAAGGGACTTTGACCCTTTGTAATTTTGCCATTAGAGGAATATTCTCGAAGTTGTCGTTGGAATAGACTGCGGGCTTGTTAGCAATAATGCACAATGGGCGACTAAGGGACGAAGTGATTGGCCCACCCCTTGTAGGGGCGGCCGGTTGCATTGGAGATGAGGTATGACGGCCTGGAAAAGAAGGGGGCCTGGTGCATTTGTATGTCTGTCACCGAAGGAACATTTCCGAGAGTTTGTTGTTGCTTGAGATGGCTGCGGCTTGTGTTAGCAAAGGAGAAGAAACTCTGATACTTTGTGTTTTCGCCATCAGTTGAACATTCTCGAGAAATTGTTGTTGCTTGATATGGCCGCAGCTTGTGTTAGCAATGGAGTACGACGGCATGGTTAAGCTAGAAATCAAGATATTTTGGTAATGTTTTTGCCAGAATTTTCATAGACTTGCAAGCCCCCCCGCTTCCTCTACGCCTCAGCACTGTGCCAAATCGACAACGCTGGGGACCGCGTCATTGGCTGTCTAAAGCGACCTCTCCCTCATCAAGGAAAGTATGCAATCTCCTGGAATTTGACAACCAAGGAGCACTCTTACTTTCATCTCTCGAGAATCAGGAACCACTCATCGAGGGCGATTAGAAGACACGGTCAAGATGGGTCAATCCATCCTCTGGACCAGGCTCCCACTTCAGCGACCGAGACGTCAGCGATGAAACTTCGAAGAAGAGAAGCCAGCTTTATTACGGGTTCGAACTGGCCTATCAAATAAACTGGAACCCCGACCCTGAAAAGATCAAGAAAAGGACTGGCCTCCAGTGCAGAAGGACCAAGAAAACGAGGCTCCTCGAAAGATTGACTCACCAGCCGGCGAGGAGCATGAAGGTGAGGTACATGAAACGGCCTAGAGAGAACTCGGTCAGGACGCCAAACCAAGGCAGGTTGTCCGCGTGAGGGGGGACAAACACCTGCAATGGAGCAATCGCTTTCAACGACAGCCAGGGTACCACTGGCCACAAAATATGGAAGATGCAAGTTGCAGGTGAGATACTCGAGAAGCTCGACAGTGGTCAAAAGCGCAAGCTGCCTCACGAATCGAAAGCGTGATGACTCAAGGGCCTAGCCCCTTTGTGCTGTTCCGCGAAAAACACACGCGGCCACAGAAGGTTTTTGGGCAACTGGTTACTAGCCCGCTATCAGCACTCGGTGCAGAATGTTCAGCGGCAAGCTGTGCAGTTTTGCGAACCCATCCGAAAACCTGCGGAGCTCACCTCGTCTTTGGCCAGACTTCCGGTGTTGCTGTGATGCCTTCGGTGCGAGTACTTCCACCTGCAAGGAGTGCTGACGTCAGCATCCAGGAAGGCGCTCGACTTGGGCTCAAGAGTGGCCAACTTCTTGTAACTCTGCAGTGACCCATAACTCTGCAGTGACCCATAGTTCCAAAGAGGGTTCTTGATACCACTGGCAACTTTCTGATATCTGAGTCTGCTCTGCTGCCAACGAACCGTGCAATTTTTTTGACAGTGTGGCCGTTCAAACACGTGAACAGTGAATGGTTTATTGACTACTAGAGGCACTGTAGCAACTGCATGCGCAAGTCCCTCGAGCCTGACCACACCCGTATTGCGACAGGGATTCACCTTACAGGAGCAGACAACCCAGGGAATAATAAATTACAGACAACGCAAGGCTAGGAAAGTCAGATCAGAGAGACAGCCACTCACGAGAAGTAGGGCACCAGGAGTGCGGAGTGAAACACGAGCCCGACGGTGTCGTTGACCCATCCATAGTCGCTGAATGCCTGATGGCCGCACTCGTGAGAGATGACCCAGACTCCCGTGGCCACGCTGCCACAGATTGCCCAGTAGAGGGGCCAGAGAACAAGGTACGACACAAGTTTTGGGACGGTGGGGTGCTCGAAGTAGCGAGTGGAAAAGGCCAGCGCGGCGATGATTGCGAGGTCGGTGGCCAGGTAGGAGAATGATGTCAGCAGGGAGCGCTTGAAGCAGTGGGGGGGAATCGCGCGCTTGAGGTCGCCGACGGTGAAGGGGGGCTTGTCCTGTGGGGGAAAGAAGGGGAGGTGGGGGTTTGGAGACTACTTCTATATTTCAAAGGCAATAAGCCTATCAGAAACCTGCAAGAATCTGTTAGCCGGGTGGGTATGGAAAGCGTTGCGCCTTAGAAGATGAGGCTGATAGGACTTCTGTAGTGATAAGTCGTCATGGTTTCTTGAGTTGAACCAAAGATGGAAACATATGAAAATCTAAAGATGGCTTCTATAAATTCTTTCAACATCTTCTTCCAGTGCACCACTTCTTCTGCTTGCAAAAGTCAAGTTACATAACCTGAAAAATGACGGGTCTGAGAAACAAACACCAACCATTCACCAAGGATTTTGTGGTTCAAGAAAGTCAACAAACAAGAGGAGAACACTAAAATGAAGACGCAAATCCGCCCTTGAATGCTCAAAACTGCCCTATTGAAACTGCTTTAACTCTCAAATGTCACATCAAAGGACAGGTAAATCCCAATAAATGGCACTTGTGATGCCTGACGCAGATTACAAATTGCCCAATTCGTTCAATGTCAAATTTGCATACTTCAATCCTAGATGTTGCAGAATTGCTGGTTCGATGCCTGGTCAAAATCCCTTGCTACACTTGAGCGGATTCGGAGAATTGGCAGACTTAGACGCAACAAACTTCCAACCAATCCAGAAAGGACAATCTGCGCAGATCGGCAGCAAAAGAAACGCTGCTCTGATGGTCGCAGATCTATGGAAATAAACCATAAAGAGCAATTTAAGTACCACTCAATAATCGAAGAGTTTTGTGCAAAAGCTGCCCCAAGATCTCACGACAAGCTTGTTTTGTCATCAAATAAAAGGAGCCCTGCCTCTAGCACTTGATTTGAAGAAAGATTCTCAAACTGCGGAGCAAACAAAGTCACTGCGCATAGTTTCAGAATTGATGCAAAGTCCATCAAATTAAGGGTCACTGACACCATTACCAAATCTTGACATTATTCCAATTCTGTTGACAATCCTTTAATCTATAACGCATGTCAATAAATGCATCATAAAAGTGCAGAAAGTAGATTGAGACCAGATCTAGACGGAACCCTCGCTCCAAGGTCTCCTGCGGACTTGGAGCCACATCAATGCACCACCGGCTTGAGACCGATTAAAGATCTGACACTAAGATGGACTGATTGCTTGGACACGAAGATAACACTCAAGTAGTCAAAAGAAGTTCCAGATCTAGCTCAGGTAGCACGAGGGGCATACCGATGGAGCTCGGGGGAATGCTGGGACGCGCTGTCCTTCAGCAGGAACCGTTGCATCGCCGCCACGCCCCATCCTGTTGCCTTTTCGGGGCTTCAACCTTCCCCAGGTGGTGGACTTTCCAAAATATTATGTAGCTTCACAGGCGGTCAAAATCTATGCTACACAAACGCAGTCACGAGAGACCGCACCGCAAGTTCAACCTTGCAAGCGCCCAAGCAGTTTTATCCTAGCTTTGATGCCCAGCTTTCCTTCAAAGATATTTGCTCCAAAAAGAAGTTGCGCTCTTCCACGTCGAGTCCCCCTGCCAAATGCACCATGTTGGCATGACCATGACGGACTCATGCATGACTCAATGATTGCTCGGTTGCTGACGCACTGAATTGCTCATTGCTCAAATCTGATTGGTCTTTGAGTCAGGTCATGACATCAGCAGATCGTAATTGACCAATATCAAGCTGTCTCTTACCCCGGGTATCGAGACGCACCCGGGGAAAATGCCGCTAATCCATCTCATAACTTAGGCAGTGACCGGGGTGCTTTCACGAAACCACCGCCGGGGGCTACCCAGCTGCAGTTACCGTTCACAGGAACTCTCAGCTACCTGTAACCGTCGATGGAGAAACTCTCAATCGAATCCGTCGATCGGGCAAGTCCTCTAGATTCAAAAGTTTTGCTGATCAATCCGTGATCAAAACTTGTCTTCAGACAAAACTTGACAGCCTCCTCTCTGCCGTTTTCTGTCTCTTGCAGAAGGAATTGCGTTTGGAACTCAAAACGAAAATGGCACTTTTCACTGAAAGTGACAAGAAGCACCGTACATAGGTACCTGTGGAGAGGCGGAGCTGTAGGAGTCCCGACGCTCCACCTGATGAGCTGGGTGTTCTCGGATTAGTGGGGAAGCGTTGTTTTGGCATGACGCCTTCCCTCTCTCCTTCAAGCTCAGCCTCAAAAGCTCTGCGCAGATACTGGTGATTCACACTAGAACACCAAGTGATGTCCTTGAGAAAACAAGCTGCAGAGAAGAGTGAAGGAGAAACATAAGTTTGGAATATCTCAGCAGGGCCTCAGAGACACTGGGGCATATCTGCTACAAAGGTAGGTGGATGCAACCCAAAATGTAGGTGGCACACACAGAGGTACAAGCATGGCGCAGATGCACTCGATGACCAGAGATGCCGGCAAAGACGACCTCAATGAACTTATGCCTATGCATTTCAAAGGTTTGGCCAACCTGGAGCATGTTGATAAGGATGGGGACACTCTTTATCTACATGAGTATCTGGGATCGAAGGTGAGCTAGATGAATTGCCCCACGCTTTTCACGCCGTTTAGAGCCAGCTCAAACTATCAATAGAGCCTTTGAGCAGAAAATTTGAAAGCAGGAGGCGCAAATGATTGACCCCTGCACAGCTCCTGCTTGACAGATACTTTTAGCCTGATCCATGCAAGCTGCTTTTAGACAGTTTGATAACTTCACAATTAAGTACGCAGATTGTGATGCCAAAAGATTCTGGACCCTCTCCTTGTTGTAGACTGCAATTTGAGTAACTAAATGGTGCAGCTCTTAGTCTCCAATGTGTGAGGCCATGACTATCTGGCAGTGCACTTGAAATTGTTGCCCCCATTGATGATCTTGCAGAGCCATATCAACGGTTTTGGAACACAAATGGCGGAGCCGCTGCATCAAAGAACCACTTCACAGACCTCGGTCCAAATGAGGTGCGATCACCCTCCCTAGAAGACTGGGCCAACTAGGAATGCTTGGTGATGAATGGTAGGGATTGCAAAGCAAGCTCAGACAATGTTGCACAGCTTTACAGCTCACAAAGAATGCAGGATCCTGTAGTCCGTCCAATCGCAGAATAGTCCACTCAAACAAGCTATGCTTCGTGCATAACTCCTCACAAGATCATGAAATTCAAAGACGTGCTTCAAAAGTGGACCTTTTCAATCAACCAGACATGGCGGAGGTCAACACGAAGCAGCCACAGAGATGCACAATGGCACCGACAACTCTAGATGGATCAAGCTTGCAAAGGCGGTGTCTGGACAAATGGCTGGTAAGCATTTGCCAGCCAACTTGCTTGTGGTCTATGTCAGATAGGCAGTCTGCCGGCACTCCAAGTATGAATAAAGCAAGTGTCCAAGGGTTCAGTCCTGTAGGTGCGGTTAGGTCAGGCCAGGTCGAGTCAAGATCATTGTCACCAAATTGTCCCTTCTCACAGCAAAGCTGCCTGGTAAACACTGCTGGCATGGAGCCATACCTTATGCAGTCGGCTTTATTGTTCCCAGGGGAGCCAGCTGAGCAGGAGAACACCCCCCCCCGCATGGACGCCCTTGCTCTCTACCTGTCCAAGCCCCGTCCCAAGGGCAGAGGCTTGAGAAGGGAAGGCTCCCGCAGGGTCGCTCGCAAGCGGACTTTCGGCCTGGACCTGAAGCAGCTCGCTCAGCAGCGAGACGACAGTGACAGCGAGATTGAGTGGGAAGCCAGGAACCAGGAGCTGGCGCGGCAGAGAGCCGAGCGCTCCGCGCAGAGGCAACTAGAGCGGGCGAGCCGGCAGAGGAGGCAGTCGCTGGCGGGGAAGCGGCAGTCCATGGGGCCCCAGGCTATGGAGCTGGACTCGGACGATGATGTCATGGAGGACCTTGATTTTGGCGGCGGTGGTGAGATGGGGGATTTGGGAGAGGACGAGGAAGGAAGGGCAGGAGAGATGGCGGCGGAGGGTGAGTCTCGGATTTGATCGATCGTGACCTGCTAAGAAACTTGTGAGACATCGCTTTTCCCAATTGGTTTTTCCAGGTCAACTTACATCCCAGTTGTTTGCGGTCATATGCGGATCTCAGTCTTGCTTGCAGTAGCGCCAGACAGTCTGTAAAGCTTCATTCAGAGCAGCCTACTTACTCGCAGCTTTCACAATATTCAGTTGCCCGCTCAAGTAAAACTGAGCTTTTCTCGGTACGATAGTTGGGGTGAAAGCTGGAAACATGCAGATTCTGCGACCTGTCCCTTCAAAACCTTGGTAATCTCTATCAAAGTTTCGCAAATGGCCACTCCACCCTCAAACAGCCTCATAGCAAGACATGTTCCCCCATGAGGGCTGCTCGCCCTATGCTGACACTGTCTCCCTTCTTGCAGCCAACGGAGCCTGGAAGACAAACCCCCTCTTTGACGGCCCGGGCCTTGAGAGGCCCGCTCCCCCCGAAACACAAAATGCAGCCCCACCTCCACCTCCGGTCCTGGCAGAGAGTGCGCCTCTCCCTGAACCCCCTGTCCAAGCACAAACCGAGTCGGCAGTCTCCCCTGTTCCAACACAGATCACCCCCCTCCCAAAGAGCGCCGCATCACACACCAGCTTGTCCGCCCAGGCCCAGAAGATTGCCGAGCGGCTCCTCGCAAAGGTCGGCGCCGCAGTAACTAGAGCGGGGGCGATGTCTGACGGCGGCACCCAAACTACCCCCTCGCTTGAGCTCCTGGCGCTTGCAGACCGGCCGCACATCCATCCCCCCGTTCTGGCCCTCCCCCCTGTTCCTAACCGTGAGCCAGTTTCGGTTGAAAAGCAACCCCAACCCCCCGGTTCAGAGAGAGGGGGTGATGACGGCAGCCCCCTCCCCCAGGATGTGAATGCGGCCATGGCGATGGCTGCGCAGATTGCGGATGACATTGACTTTCCCACAGTGGAGGATTCGCCCCCCCCGGCTGATACGGTTGGCTCCGGGGAGGGGGAGCAGGGCCCGCGCAAGCTGGCGTTTGGGAGCCCGGTGGATGCGGGGCAGCCCGAAGGGGGGGGCGCTGAAGACGACGATCAGCCGGAAGTGCTGGACGATCCGCCAGAGGTGAGTGACGTTTGGCATCTGTTGTTGCTATCTGTCGTGCCTGCCTGTATTCGATGTGATCCTCTCTGTGATTCGCTTTTCAGCGCATGTCTTCAGACAAGGACGTAGCCGGCACCAATGTTCAGCATGGTCACCTTCTGCAACCGACGAAGGCGATTCTTCTGGGGTTGCTTCAAGCCTGAGATCGATGTCGGTCTTGTAGCAGCATCGTCGTCCCTTCCCTTTCCCTTCGACGAGTTGAACTGCAGGTCAAACACGGTTCGCTGTTCCTCCCATGAAAGTCAGTGGATAACGGCATAAAAGTCTAATACATGCGGAGCCCGAAGGTCGTGCTTCTCAGTGCTTCTGATCTGATTCATACCCGCCTGTATTCTGAGTTCAGGAACCGGTTCCAGATCCCCCTATCACAGACGTTGCGCCTGCGCCCCAGGCGCAATCCCCGGCAGAGGACCACGCCCTGGTTCCATATGAAAAGCGGAAGCCGGCCGAGGTCCGGCGGCCCAAGTCGAGGATTCAGAAGAGCAGGAAGAGTCTCGCAGGTAAGTGCAACAAAAGAAAAAAAGTCTGTTGAGCACGAGAGACGTTGAAGATGCGCTGTTAATCGTCTTCTTGGCTTTTTAACTTTACCATTAAATCAAAGAAAGGTGTTCGGGCTTGTCGGCTGTCCGGAGGAGACGACCGTATTGCCGTCTCTATTCAAAGAGTTTGCTGGGGCAACCTCTCCATTGCTCCAGAACTGTAGCAGCCGTGGGGGCATGGTCTTGTTGGGTCTCATTTCTTGCATCAGCGAGGAAATGATACCAATGTGACCGTTTAGAGAGAAGTGTGGAAGAAACTTCTGATTTCGAAAAGCTGTCTCAGAACGTGCTCTTATGCAAGAGAAATCAGAAGATCAAACTTGATATATTGCACCGTCAGGAGCGGGCTTGATCTTCGACAAGGGCGTCCGGAGAACCACGCGGGTCCCGCTGCGCCCCCTGGAGTGGTGGCGGAACGAGTCGTACGAATGGGAAAGGGCGTATGACAGTAAGCAACCTTCCTGAAACTTATCTAGGAAGTATCTGTGTGGGCATCGGCATTAAGCATGTGAGAAGGAGTTGTACGAACGGGAAAAAGCGCATGACATTACGAAACCTGTTTTGGAAGGATCCGTGGGGCATCGGCATTCAGCATGTGAATCATAGAGGATATTATCCTCGAAATGCTGACTGCTTACTTGGAAGTCGATGTATCCTTGTGACTTCGACAAGTGGGTTGAGTGTCAGGCGGCGACTTTGAATCGCTTCCTTGAGAGAACAATCGCATTTATTTCATATGCATGTGCCATTATTGTATCACTGCTCTTTAGATTGCGACTTGATTCGTATGCGGCTTTCCCCACTTTACTTTGTGGAGTGAAGCGTCCGTTTTCAACCGGCTACTTGTATGTGTTTCGCAGGCCTTCCCACTATTGCGAGAAGAAATCTGCTTTCTCCCGACCCCATCTGGCCCAGAAATGACGGCACGATTGCAGCGAAGCTGCGGAAGGGAAAAGCTGCTGCTAAGTTCCCGGCTTTGACTTGCAGCTCGACTCACAAGCTTTGATGAGTAGATGCAATGACAGGGCATTTGGCAACCGCTGGTTGTGAATATTGCTTAGCAGCACATGCATGACAATCGCTAATATGTAGGTTTCAGTACTTGTCAGTTTCTTAATGGCGGTGAGACTGGAATGCAATCATGTCGTTGCAGCAGCGACCCGCTGTAGGCAAGAATCTTATTGAAGGATGCGCTTGAGATATGTAAATGCACGATTCAAGTTGACGTGTGCTTCTCCTTAGCAGTAGCTACGAACTGAGTGCTCGATCCTCGAAGAAACATCACGCTCTTAAAAAGGTACGGTGTTGGCGTTCAAAGTTTCTCGAGCGCCCTGTCCTTGAGCTAAATCATGCCATATTGATTCCGGCGGGCAATACCTGTCAATATTTCATTTGACTTCTGCTCGATCATACAATGCCTGCCTGCGTATCTAGTCTAGTTATATTCACGTCGTCCAATGATAGACGTTCCAATCTCGGAGAGGCCGCTGTCACGTGGTTTGCCATAGTCATCCGTGGACCTTTGCATGCATCATGTGCTGTACGCGCCGGCCATGGGATTGGACATGCTGGCATGGCACGCGCCCCTCGCGCAGCGGCGTACTATAGCTCGACCGCCTGATCCGACAGCGCAGGCCCATGCAAGTAAATATATATTGCCCATCAGCTCAGTACACGTGGCGGCAAGGCGGCCCTAGCCATGTAATTGTGGCAGATTTAGACCCCCGGACGGTACGTGACGCTGGCTTTAATAAGTTACATCATGCCAGTGCATATATATCTAGCTACTGAATCCAAGGCACGATCGAGAGATATAGGCCCACTCCATATGATCGATGCGCCTTTCAAAGGTGTGATCGAGAGGAAGAGCCCATGCATGATCGGTAAGTTTAGTTCAGGCTCGGAAGTACCAGGCCTTCGAGCAGGTTTAGGTATTACATTAATAATCAGACTAAAACAGCGATCGCTTACCGCTGTTCGCTGAAGTCCCTACAGTTATCTTCGCAGAATACGCGCGGATCCGACCAGCTTCTTTATGGACGATCCAACGTGCTTGTCATGCTTACGTTTCTGACAGGTTCCGAGCTTCGCTTTCGACTTTCCGCTAACGCAAGATCGGACGTACATGTCGAGGTCCTTCGTAACTTGGCTTACTTGAATGCTGCCGGGTCTTACCAAGGGGCCCTTAAGAACACCTCGTTCCGCATAAGTGAGAAGTCTATACTCAAGCCGCTTTCCTGACAGACTCTGATGCTAGCTCAAGTCGACGAGAGCGAGTGGTCTCGGAACGGGAAGTCCGCAAGGACTCTATCCATTTGGGACGGGCGTGTCGTGTTCGACAATCTGCTTTGTCTTGTCGATGAACTGCAAGAAGAGCCAGGGCATGTTTTCTCAGTAAAAGTCACATGTGTGTACAGAGACCTTTCAGTAAGCATGAACTTTAAATCTCTTCTGTTCGGGGGACAAAAGCTGAGGTTCGATTTCCCCTTGCAGTCGGCTTCTTGTGCAGCCACAACCGTCTTCGCAGGGACGACTTCCAATCAGGAAGTTCATCACTGTTGACCGATTCCTACTGGGGGTTCGAAGCTTCAGGTGAGATTTCTTAAGACACGTGCAACATCACAAAGGAGCAAGATCCCTACTCCGGTTCGTCCGCCACTTTCCCGGAGCGGAACGCCCTGGTTCGTCCCCGGTTCCTCTAGCTCCGGTTTGAAGCCACTAGGCGCCCTCTGATTAGTGCCTTGATCAGTAAACTGAATGTGAAGTTAATTAATAGTAGTCACGTTTTCCAGGGCGGGTCCAACTAGAATAATGACTCCTAACGAACTATTCGGAGTTCAAAAAAATCAAACGGCCTTGAAAACCACGGCTGCAGTATCTGAAAGCTTCCTGCCAAAATACCGAGACGACTTGCCTTCTCTAAAGCCTTTTCCACTGCGTCCCTCCCACCGATGATGAGGCGAGTGACCTGGAGCAACCATGAATGAGTTAGTCAAGAAAGTACCGAAGTCTCTGACGAGAATCGGTTTGAATATCTGCCTGTCAGCAGTGCTCATGACCGAGAAAGAGCAGGACCGATGGACTGAGAACTTCAAAGGAAGACAAGGCGAGAGATACATCGCACAAGACGAAAGGTTGTAAGAACTTGAAAGGTACGTTTGCAATCAAACGGCAGCCTATCTGCCAGTGTTGGTTGATGGCAAAGTGCTTCCGTCGCTTGTACCTCATCAGGCAAGCGTGGCCAAAAAGTTTCTACTGTAGGCAAGAATGGTTCCGGAGCTATCCAGGAAATGACTTGAAAAAGGTCCCCGAGACTCATCAAAGCGAAAAGAAAAGGAAGGCAGTCAACCTCGTGGACATGGAAACGTCCTGAAAGAGAAGAACACTGGTTTTGCACAAGCTTACCACTTCAGGGTCCGTCTCATGCCGTGCGGCCTCAAACTCGCTTCTGGCACTTTGTTGAATCATATCCTTCCTGTAAGTAAGAAAAGGAGCGTTGTAAAACCCTCTCCTTCATTCGCCTATGATATAATTGCGGGTTTGTTGTGCAGTGACAAAGGGGAGGGTAAGCAGCTCGTTTCAGGAGTCGAATGCCCAAATTAACTAGCAAGACACCTTTGATTCGAGTTTTAGAAGCTTGACTGGACAGGGGGGCTAGCCTGTGAGGTTTAGATCCATGCTTAGTAGACAGAAGGCTTCCATCACTCCAAAATCTCAGCCATCTTTGTTCGACATGTAAAGTTGATTCCTGGGGTTTTGAATTATTGCTGAGATGGTGCCGCTTACCAGAGAACCCCATTTTTATTTGTCCACACAAAAAAGCGAGAGCCACGCAAGATGGATCGGTACCTGCGAAAGGTCGTTGGATTTCTTCAGAGGCAGCTTTTAGAAGTGGCCTCGACTTCCTGCTCAGATAGATTCTCTCAGATGCCTCCTCCAACTGAACAGTTTCAAAGTTGCCGGCAGACACTGAATTCTTTCTCTATATCTTGCCCAAGGGCTTCCACTGAACAGACTGACAATGCACCTCTTCCCTGTAACGGCCCTTTGCATGCATTGCTCACATGAAGATCAGCAGAACAGCCCACAGCTTGAGGGGTCAATCAGAACTGCGCACTCACAGAGACAGTGCTTCTCTCCGTGTGCTTGTAACTGCCCTCGCAGCCTCCTCTACAGTGGTTGTTCTTGGAGCCAAGTTCTGCTCAATCAGGGCCTCCACGCCCGAATCAGAGCTCTCTGTATTCAGGTGCCGGTAGTGGTACACTAGCAACGGTCGTCCGCTCAAGAGCAGCCTTTTGGTGACATTGTGTCTGAGTTGTGGGAGAAGCATGGCTTGCCCAGCAAAGCCAAGGACTTCAAAGCTGGAAGAGGGAGCTGTGGCTGCCTTCTGGACATTCACGGTGACGCTTTCATGCTAGGTCATTGAGCAGATTTACTATGTTGAAGCTCCGCTGGCGTAAGAGCATGACCTGGATTTGAATGCGCCAACTACATGCAGGGATTCATGCAGGCCTTAGAAGGGCCTTAGAAGTGTTGCTTGCTGGTCATCCATCAACAAAATTCTTCACCAGCTTCTTGCGCCATGCAAGCTTTGATGCCAAGCAAAACTTGGGAACTTGTGCAACTTGAAAGCTCGAAGAATGCTGCCGGTGCCAATGCAGTGCCCAGCTTGGATCGAGCAAGAGCCTTCATATCCTATGCGTGTAAATCCGGACCACTTCTTATTTTTTGACATTGACCGGCTCAGAAACGGTATGCCGACGGGACCCTTTTCCTCGGTTTATACGGAAGCCGAGGGGACAACCGGCATCTATACCCAGGCGCGAACCTGCCCGGATAAGCGGCTACGGGCGGATGCTCAAATTCATGCTTTCTCACATGCTCCCATTGCATGCTAGCTGCAGCTAGTGCCCCTTGCCCTTGCTTGTCTTAGGTGCAAGCGCAGTGTGACGAGATGAACGAGATTGTGACAGTCCAGTGCCCAGTGGCGGCAACGCGCTGCCTTCCATGATGCAGCCGACACGTTCTTGCGTTCAGCTAGACGGTGCGCCGTTGTCTTCAAAGCTGGAGTCGGTCATAGTCAGTGCGTCAGTGTCACTAGACCGTTCCATAGCATGAGGTTCAGGGCAATCCGCCAAACCCACGCTACTTGCAACTGCCGATAGGCAGCATTGAAACATGCGATATACTAACTTTTCTTATCTGAAGCGTTGATTGAGACTGTATCGCCTACACCAATCTCATTCAGTGTTTTAAAGCCCCTAGCTATAATAACGCACAAATGAACTTCCTCGAGCCCCTTGCCTAGATTGTTCTCTCATAACTATTGGTCATCCTTCTTCCGGACCCTATGCTGCATCTTTGCTAGAGCCGCCTGTACTGCTACCTCGTATGCACCTGTCCATTCCGCCAGGAGCTTTGCTCTGATATCAGGACCTTCGAGACCTCCTTCAGATTCCAGCGTGCGCAAAACGTTTCTATATACTAAACGTGGCAGAATGCTGGCCATGCATTCGCGTTTCGCTACAATCTCCCCATTGGAGACCTTCTTAAGCGACTCGATTACGTTCACCCCTTTCCGAATTACGTCGTCCATGGGAATAAATATAGAGTACTTGTCCAATTCGGGTAGAAACTCGACGTATGGGCTGACGGTTTCGTGCATGAAGAGGACAGGAACGCATCCCGCCTGGACAAGAGATATCAGAAACGGTCAAACGGTCACCCTAATTTTAAACCTCTAGCACACCGTTGATAGCGCTTGAAAGATCTTACACGAAGGCGGCTGCTCCATTCAACTTCAGATCGGTGGCCACTGGCCAGTTGCTACTCTGAAGTGCGCCGAAACAATCATTGAAGCGAACGAAGCGGTGATATTGAGAACGAAAGTGGAACATCCTGGCCGACTAATAGACGAGGCGCGATCAGATGGTCCGTGCAAAACCTCAAAAAAGGTCACTATGCCAATCAGGAGCAGCCCACCAGAATGATTTGGGCAAAGATCTGTCAATTGCTCCTTTGCCATTCTCTGCTGACGACTGCTTCATCTACACGTTCAGTGCAAGTAGTCCCTTTGTTGCCAGGGGGAACGTCAAGGGACTTAACTTTATCACGGCGGAACCTTTTTTTCGTTTACCGAGGGAAGTCGTCAATGCACTCTCCTGACCTTGAAAAGAGAACCAATCTTGCAGTACATTTCCAGTCAGGATTTAGGAAACCTTGAGGAAAGACAGCGAAGCGCTTCTGTTAAACATACCTGGATAGCATCAAAGACGCCGCGGCGCGTCGGCGAGTCGCCCGGGGGTTGCAGGCAAAACGTGGACCTCAAGTACAGCTCGACATTCTCCGCTATGCTGCACTCAAACTTGGCGCAAACGAGGAGATGACACGTGTCCGGCTGCAGATCGCACTGCTCTTTGAGCGCCGCCCGCACGTCTCGACCGGAGTTAAGGCCCCACGTGCGGTTCAACGATCCGGCGAAGCTCACAAAGAAAGGACGGTCGGATGCGGTGATGAGAGACTGGTGGGATGTCACGTCGGAAAGAGAGACTGGGTGGAAGGCGGTGGGGTAGGGAATGTTGACCTGAAGAAGAAGGACCAGACGGAGATCGGCATCCGAAATCTGAATACCAGTACGTACGTTAAGCATCTGGTGCTTGTGTCTGCCGCAACTTGTGAATTGCCCATCAAATCTGCAGGAAACGCCCGTGGTCTGATACGAAACCTCCCTACGTCAACTGATCACGAGACAAGTCCACTGTTTTGACATCCGTTGGGGCGTTGTCCTGCCTATGCGTACATTTAGCAACCGAAGAAGTCATCAGCAATTGTGAGATCTTAAAGTGTCCTAAGAAAGGACAATTCGAAATTGATTCAGATTGTTTTGCTCTGCCGTTCGTTATCCGAACGCCCAACATAGAAGGTCGATGCTAACATTGAGCGTCGGGTTTGACATTCTAACGCAGACTGCAATCGGAGCCTCAGAAACGAAGGGTTTTTGAAAACAAAATGATGAGGGTTCCATGATTCGATGTCTATGAGGTAGGGACGCACCCCATACGCATGCTGACGACTCACCTGGCGGTCCTTGTGGCCTTCGGCTGGCTGCGTCCCCAATATGGTCATCGCCCTTGTGTATGGTGTGTTGAGCAGACCCGAATCGCAGCACGTCGAGTTCTTGACACCAAAGTAAGTACTCAAGGCCATCGTAACGAAGTGGTCTCGCCCCTCGTGCCTGCGTTACAGGAGGGCCGGATGAGCTGGAAGATTTCGGGTGAGGAAGCGTTGAAAACGCTAGCATACAAAACCCTGCGGACAAAGCTGACCCCGGGGCATAGGGTTCATGCACGTGTGAAGTTCTTACAGCAGTCAAGAGGTTAGGGCTTCGGTTAATATTCCTCTTCAGGCTCTGGCTGGCGTTACCTCAAAATGGCGGTGATTGAGTCGGCTTCCGTTGCATTGCACGACATGGCAGCCTTTGAATTACGTGGCGCACTAAGAGCCAACGGATGGCTGAACAAAAGACCTCTCCATAAACCCAGAGGTGACACAAACCCTAAAGCGGAACTCTGCTTCGAGATTGTACAGAACCCGCAGCGAACGAGGTTTCAGTCAACTGCCGACCAGCGGACTGAAGACCTCCAAAGTTGACCGTTCTCTAGTTCGATCGTTGAGATCCGAGATCCTCAATCTGATTCGGGCACAAACGGTCGGTCGACATGAGTCAGTCCAGCACGCCTTGACCAACTTTACTTCTAGAAGCTATTCTTACACCGCATCAGGATATCATCCCTCCTCCCAGCTCACCTTCCAATATACGGCAGCCGCTTGAGCGCTGCGTCGAGCTCCGAACTCAGCCGCGCCAGTGTTGGAACTGTCGGGCAGCATGTCTGGTTTGAGCCGCACTCATGCGCAGTTTGCGCGTGCCAAAGGTTGCCCGCGTAGAGCGGGACGTAGAACGCCGCCGCCGCTTCTGGGTCGAGAGTCCGACATGGGTAGAGTTTCTCCAGATACTGCAGAGAAGATAACATTGGGAAACTACTCAGGGGACTAGTTTCAGCAAAAACTGCCAAAAAAAGGAAACCTCCGAGTATTTTCCGGACCAAAGAAGATAGTTTGTATTCTGCCGAGACAGCCTCTATCGGCATGTGCACATGGTCGAGTGACGACCTTGTCAGGAACCTTGCAAGTGTACATGAAAGGCGGTCTCTCGAAGCTCCGACCTTTGGAACACCGAAGGCTGCTCCATTGGAACGTGCTTGGTTCAGTGCATCAGAGAGAGCAGAAGCGGTTTACAATATGCCAATCCTCAAGAACGGTTGGAAGTTCTGATGTAAGCAAATGAGAACGGGGAACCCAAGCAAGCCTCAGATGAGTAAACAATCAGTGCCCCCAGAGTATGATCCTACGACCAAACAATGATTCCCATAAGGCTTAGCTTACTTCCTCTACAAACCGACTGGGAAGCTCACATGATGGAACATAACCTCGAGCGCGTGCTGGCCGGTGTCCGCCCAAAGCTTCTCATCGGTTCCCAGGGCAGAAAACTTCTTGTCCCGGAGGGGGGGGCCAATTCCCCAGTGCTCCCCAGAGTAAACGACGCAAGCGTTGCGGGGGTGGGCCCACCACCAAAGATTGCACTCTTTTGTAGTGAGGTCAACGTTGAACTGAGGGGGGAGGTCGTAGACGTAGATAAGCTGGTCTGGGCGACAGCTACAAGCAGGGCATGGGGAAACGTTGGTACTTCTGTTTCAAACACTTGTGCAGTCAATCTTAAAGGCTTGAATTGAGACTCTGACAAGGCAGAACATTGTGTACATGCAAAAGCTGGTTTGGCGACTGACTTCAGCCAGACATGTGGTCTCTTCACAAGCCGATGGCTGCTTTGACCCCTTGAGTTGTAAATTTCAAGAAACACATCAGACTTTCATACCCTTCGATGATTCAGCTATCATCTCTTCTGACTTAAAAAGCAGTCTCGTAAGCGCCTATACAAAGTGGGACAACATGATGCATTCTATACCTATGTTTACCAAGACAGGCTGCACTACTTGCCTGCTCCATTTATCCCCTGAAGCGCCACTTTCTCCTGCAGACATGCCATTCCCTTGCCTTGTAACCTGGTATCTGAATCCTGATGCGTCATCTGATGAATCCCAGTCCAAAGCGCCGAGTAGACTCCGCTTCGCAACTACGAGAAGAGCAACTGCAATCACAACAACAGGCAGCCTGACAGACCTCATAAACCTCGTCTCACTCGGGACAACGCCAAACAGATTGCGGCTTCGCTGATCATGCGTGAGCTTCCCGGTGCATCTTCTTCTACTTGTAATGCTTTTGCAGCACGGTGCAGCTAGCTCAGCCCCGCATCAAGCCTGCTCAGCCGTCTTGACAGTGGACCTCTTATTATAGCGCGAAATGAAATGGAAGTTTCGAAGGGCAGATTATGAAACGCACGACCTATTGTCAAGGCAGCCACCAATGCAACAATTGTCAAAAGAGGGTTCTCCTTCTCAAGCTTCTCTCTGCTGGATGCGGACCGTTGTCAAGAGAGGGCTCTAGCCTCTTTTTGAAGACTTTGTCCAACTTTGTCTCGAGCTTTTCTTTGTCAAGCTAGCCGTTCAGTCCAAATCTGCAGGTACATTACATGAAAAGCATAAGAGCCAATTTAAATCAGATACGTGGCCTGGAGATTGTGCCGGTTGTTGTGCTGTCTAAGCAGACCCTTCCTGTAGACTAGGTATATAAATGTCTTGCCATTAGCTGCCGGTTTTGAATGTGTCAAAGAGATGCTGATCATGAGGCTTATGAGCGCCCCAACCTTTTCTACATAAATTTAACTTCATTGATTAAATTAATGGTGAATGCTTCGAACCAATGATTCGTTCGTCTACTTTGTTCATCAAGGGAGGCAGCATATCTCTCTGTTTGGCTGGGCGGCTTGGGTTGCCTGGAAGTAAAACTTCAATGTAGAAGAGATATATGTGGATGGAAGTATGAAGGTTCTCTGCAGGCTGCCTCTTCTGTTCCTTGCAGTCGGTTGCTTCACACTCGAAGTTGTAGTAAGACAGTCTCGGCTCACATTTGGTGGAGAATCAAGTCAGGTAGATGGTATGTCATCAGAAGCTGCGGGTCTGGGAAGCTTCCAACCTGCAGAGAAGCAGGGAGCTGCAGTTCACCCAAGGAGCAGGCAAGGAAACGAAGTCTTGATGAGTGCAAGAAACCGATGGCAGTGCCAGTTCCTTGAACAGTTGCTAGCATTTGATGTGCCTTCAAACGTTCCACTTGAGCTAAACACTGTAAGACTGAGCTGGACTTCGACACTCTCAAGGGAGTAGATACGTTCAAAGGAGTTCGATGTAGGCCTGAGCTGGGTGCAGTTCCACTGCTTGCAGGAACTTGTTGGAAGTCAGTCTGCGATGCTGGTCATTTCCGCAAATGTTTAACATACATTTCAGTTGCATAGGTTTCTCTCGGTTCAGCAGCTTCAGCTCCTGACTGTTTCTAAGCTGAGCACAATCAGCGAGTCTCTAATGATAAGGGCATGTGAACAGAGGACTATGTAACCCACGTGATCTCTTTTAAAGAGATCTTATTTGGACCAGCTTGTATCTGTCAACAGCTTTTAGGTTCCCCACCCCAGCTGACTCCAGCAGCTTCAGTTCACCGAAAAGTGAACCCCACAGAGTCCATAATCTCTAGGCTGGTCTTTCCTCGTTCACAGCTGCCATCCGAGCCAGCTCGTGTATGTCTACGACCTCCCCCCTCAATTCAACAATGGTCTCATCGACAGCAACGAATGCGCTGAGAGATGGTACTGGGCGCACCCCCGCAATGCGTGTATTGCTTACTCATCGGAGCATTGGGGCATTGGCCCGCCTCTCCGGGACGAGAAGTTTTCTGCTCTGGGAAGCGATCCCAGGCTCTGGGCTGACACAGGCCAGCACGCGCTTGAGCTTATATACCACCATGTGAGAGTTACTTGTGTGTCTTTGACCCTGGTCCCTTCAGAAGGGACCACTTTGAGATTCTGTACTAAACAGATTCTTGGCTCTGGACAGCAGTTGGGGCTGTGTGTCGTTTTGACTGGTGTGTTTTTCAGGATTCAAGAATAGTTACCAACTGGATATTGTCATAGCGCATCATTGGGGCTTATGCAACTTCTCTTCTGCTTAGAAACCAGAACCAGAATCCGAATGTTGCACATCTTTAAGGCCACTCAGAAGCCTACCAGAATCCGAATGTTGCAACACCCTTAAGGCCACTGAAACTCTAGGGGCTTTGTCTTGCAACGAGTAACGACAGAAACGGTGTCAATCTGAAAACCACAGCTGTCGTTCGGGCGTTACGGAAAGCTGATGCGATTGCAACCATAGGCTCTCAGGCAAAATGCACAACAAGTGCACGTTTCTAAGATAACTATGAGTTTCACCGTTCCTTTTGCCCGACCTTCGCAGTACATGATGAACCTGTACCCCTGCCGAACGACCAACCCACAATCCGCTGCTGCGTTCTACGTGCCGCTTTATGCAGGCATCCAGTTTCATATCCACACCTCAAAGGAGTGTCCCGAGACGGAAAACTGCCCCCAACCCCCAACACTGCTTCGATTAGGCTGGGAGTTCGACGAATGGCTCAGGCGACTGCCGTACGTAGAAAGGTGAGTCGATGCGGTTGGAGAGCGGCAGAGAAAGTCGAGGCTCCATCTGTCGTTCGTTTTTGCCAAATTTGGAGTTCAATTTGGAGTTCAATTCTGTTCTGAACATTTTTTCGAGAACTCTGGGCTCTTGACTCGGCAGAAAGGCCGCGCAATAAACACCAAGCACTTTGGGTCATACCGACCCTTTGGCACGGACAATGAATCCGTTCAATGTCAAGCCTCAAAGCCTGGGCTCACACAAAGACTCTACACCAGAACACTTATGCCTTATAGTGAACTTGCACTTTCCCTGGCACCTTTCCCTCATCGAAGTTCATCTGTCCCTCATCGAAGTTAAGAGCTGCCAATGGGGCCGCTCTCAGAGCTTGTTTGGCCAGCGTTCTTTGCGCAAGCTGCTTACAGCGTTTCTAAAAACCATCACCTGTTCAGCTCCTTGCGAACCTTTGCCGCTTTTTTAGAGTTTATTCTTCTCCGTAATGAGTGGCACTTGAACCCTGCCGCCCGTTGCTCTGCAGCCATCCACTGCCCGATGATTGTCGGCTTATCCACTCACAAACGCCCACCCTTGTCTGCCATGGGGACCTTCTCCTGTCTTCTTCAGGTTCGTCACAGCGTTTTGGATTAAAAGGAGGTTGATAACCTTGACCGCACAAACCGAAAAGCTAGATAAACATCACACAACGCCAGAAACTCCTCAAAAACCCAACCCTCTGAAACCCGATCGGGATGCAGGAACGGGGGCCGGGACCACTTTCTCGCAATGGGCTTCGTGACGAATTTTGGCGTTCTCGACTCGACCTGCTGCAGCTCAGGCCTACTCAACACGCCTGTGACCAAAGACATGACCATCATTGGCATTGAGCCCATCGTCAACCATCTAGATCGTCAAGTGAGCACTCTGCTGCAGTTTCGTTCTTTGTTTCCCTGTTGGTTGGGAGGAGTTCGCATCTGATTCCTTGTTGCTGCCGTCCTCGTGTGTCGAAAATCGCATCCGAAGTTCGTATTGCAGGCAATATCTGAAGTATTCTGCATCTATAAATGTGAACAGAGGGACCAAAGTGGCGAAGATCCTTCAACCCAAACCAAAACCCGAAAGAGAGTTGATCAATCCGCGCGTTGACTCGCAGGTTGCTTGGTCGTCAAAAGATGCCCAGATTTGATCAGCGTAGACACAACCAGCTGTTACCGCTGTTACTGCGCACCGCGGTGCCCGTGATGCTCAGGATAACCATTCGCTCCCCGCTTTGATTGACCCGGTGCGCTTTGGCGGCTGCAAATCTTGCTCAACTCTTACGGCCGATCTCATGTTGGGAAGCTGTCAAGAGTTCCGGACTTGAACGTCGCATTAATGGCTCACGGTTCGCTTGTTCTTTGTAGAGGCACTTCCTCACGTTCTCGAAGATTGGTTTGCGCACCCCGACCGGCTTCTACAGCGCGAAACGTTCTGACCTTTCCCCTTTTTCAATATGGCACTTGACGACTCCCTTCTAAGTCATTGATAAAAAAATAAACAATCCCTTTTCCTTCTTGTCAGGTGAACGTTCCCTACCCGACCGCCTTTCACCCGGTCTCTCTCGCCGACCACAATACTCACCAAGCTCTTATACAAGCCTCCCACCGTCCGATCCTGGTGAGCTTCGCCGGATCGTTGGATCGGACATGGGGCCTCGACAGCGGCCGCCAGCTGCGCGCCGCTCTCAAGGAGCAATGCGACGCGCGCGCTAAATTGTGTAAGCTATTGGACTGCAACAAGGAGTGCACCATAGCCGATCAATTCGAGCTGTATATGAGCTCCACGTTCTGCCTGCAACCCCCGGGGGACTCCCCAACGCGCCGCGGTATCTTCGACGCTCTACAGGTATGCATCCATACTTCTCCTCAAGTTATAATAAGAACGAAGCGAACACTAAAAAAGCTGAACCCAAATAGTCACCCCTCTGCACCCGACCCACCCTGACCCCTATACTAACCCTACCTGTCCCAGTTACTATACCTATTCTAGAGAATCATAATGCATCCTTCGCACCTTTTACTGCGCTTCAGAGCTGGTCCTATCTGGTCAAATTGCACACCAAAGCTGGCCAAACCTGGTTGCCAGGTTTGGGACACGTGTGGGGACTTAGGCCGTCCAATGTTTTGATGGAACATCGAACGGCCAGATTTCACTGTAAAGTGGTCGGATCCTATCTCAGCCAGATTCAGATTGAACCTGCAGTGCTCTCGTGCTTTGCCGGCCCTGCTTTGTCGAAAGCAGCCGCCGATCGAGCCGTCCGATGCTTGCGCCCGGATGATCTGGTGATATCAGTTCACTAAACGGCGCACATTGAAGTTGGGCGAAGCAGCCTGGTAAAAAAAAAACTCTTCGATGGTGCTGATAGTTTCATGTCACAACAGCCGCAGACAAAACTTCCGTGCTCAGATTGGTTTCGCTGACACATTTTCGACAGCCTTTGGCGCAATCAAAAGGTTGAGCGTCTGCGCGTGCTGCAACGCTACTTGGTACCTTGGCAGACTCCGTTCGTGAGAGAGGACATGTGCAAAAACAAAGAAGTCTCTGCGCGACCGTTGTGCATACTTTTCAAGAATGGATCCCGACCGCTCATCTTTGTCCCGTTAGTTCAATTTCCGTAGGACTGACCGTTCAGTTTTTGACCAGGAGCTCCGATTGCCGCATCTTCCAGTATCCAATTGGGCGGCCTTGCTGTTTCCACGTGGCAGGTGGACTCAAGCGGACACATACATCAGCCAACGTATGCACAGCTCGTCTTTACAGGAATGCAATTATTAGCGGTCATTTTTAATGGTAATATCTGGAACGTCCGCTTCTCCTGTTTGCAGGCCGGGTGCATTCCCGTTATATTCTCTTACGAGAGCGTGCCGTACCCGGAGTTCCTACCGGCTGACGTCAAACAATATGCTGTGTTCATCCCAAAGGATGACGTAATTGACCTAGGTAGTGACGTAATCGAGTTGTTAGAAAGACTTCCGGTAGCTGAGATCCTAGCGAAACGCCAGTTCATTGCTAGACTGCTGCCGCGGCTCGTTTACAGGAACGTTAATCGCACGCTGCACGCAGTAGAAACGACTACAGGAGGTAACGGGAATCGAAGAGTTCTGCTTGGATGGGAGAGCGCATACGAGGTAGCTATTGAAGCTGCGTTGCGGAAGATACGGGATAGATTACAATGAAACGAAGCGGCCATTGAAGCCGGACTGAGATCGGAGGGAAGATTCATTCAAATTTCTGGGGCTGCTTTCACCTCGTTTTGAGTGCGAGTATTAGTAGGCTGCGGAACAACAAGTACCCTGTGCATGTGCCCTTTGCGATTGACGGTGACACGAAGTCGAGATGTGCAATTTCGACCATCCTCAATATTGGTTGAACAACTGGTTCCATTGTCCAATACGTTGCATGCTTTCCAAGTTTGAGCGTACTCACTGAGCATGTCTGTCATGCCTGGCGCGCCAAATGCTAGACAAAGAGGGATGGGGCCGGCGGGAGACACGCCTTCCCCTCACGAGTCACCAACCTTATCCTATGCCATTCGAATTTCCGACTCCTACTATAGCTTTGATTCTGCATTCTCAGCGACGGCGAAGAGGATCCGACGGTGCACATGCATGCCATGTTTGAGTTGCCGAGGAGATCGCGATTGACGGCATTCGGGATGATTGACTAACGTACCATGTCGGACGTGCCGTACGTCACTCTCAGTCACGTGCATGGGCCCGCGCGGCTCGTATGCATGATCATCATAGGCGGCGGCGTGCGCATGCAAGCGGAGCATGCATGAGTGCTTGAGGTTCGAGCATGTGCGTCACTGAGTGGCTGGGACGGTGCGAATAGTTTCGATGCGATCGTTGATAGACCCGGCTAGCATAGCTCTATAATTAATCATCAACGATGCAAGTTTCGGCTCTCGTATGCGCGGCGTCGATCCAAGCAGTACAACCGTCCATGTAACTTGCCGGGTCAAAATGGACTCAAGTCGGATGCCTGGAAATATGTGCTCCGAATGATGGCGGGGCTCGTATATCCTGCGTTGTCCAATAAAGTTCAACGATCGGCAAGTCGAGCCTTGCGGCAAACTTTTGCATGGAGTAGTACGTTGGCCTGTGCCTGAACTTCGGAAATGCTCGTGTGCGGCTGTCAAGTTCTCATTGCCAACTGATCGAGTCATAGAATCAACTCGTCTGCATCGTGTTTATTGACAGATGATCGTTGATGCACTTGAATGTTTATATAATTTGGTCAGAGCTGTTGTGAGGACAATTCCGTTAAGTTATCAAGACCTCATATGCGTGTTCCAAGCGAGCTTCAGCTGCTACAGTACCAGGTGAGCAGTCGTTGTTCTTGCTACTCTAAGGGCAGTCTGCTGTTTCAAGCGATAGCAACTCGTGGGAGCACAAACTCGTTTCTAACCATAATTCTGTATGCAGGATACCTCTCACTACATTAGAAATGTGCGCAAGGAAAGTGGAGAAAGCTCTCCGGCGCAAAGTCAAACCAGCGAGCTGTGGGTTCTTTCCACTCGTTTGTCAGGGGTTTGACGTTCCAAAAGCATGGGTCGGAGGTTGCGGAGCCGTAGTATCCTCTGAAAGGGTCGATCAACCATGGTCGCACTCTGGAAAAGTCAAGACAGGTCGATGAGAATTAAACATGAGACCTGCAGAGTCTGATGTTCCATAAGAGCGTTCAAAGAGGCATGCATCAGGACCAAGGTGCCTTGACCCCCCACTTGGTTAACCGGGACGAATCTTTGAGTTTCAGGTCAGCCGCTTCCATATCAGCAAGGGTGACTTGACGCAGCCGGATTCGATTCCTTGACCGTCTCATTCCCTGACGCTCTTTTACAGTCGCTCTCCTCTCTCTTAATACACACCAGCAGCCACGAACTAGCAAAGCCTCAAAATGCATCTGGCCGGTAGGTCACCATGTTTGCAACAGAGTAATTCAGGAGAGGTCTGGCCGGCTGTGCTTACCCTCCAAACGCAGCTGCCACGTGGCTGAACGTACTGGCCCGCGTCCCTATGATCTCGTCCGACGCCCCCAGCAGGAGCATTTCCAGTACGGCAGTCCGCAACCCTTCTCTAGTTTCTCGATCGAGCCCTTCCCAAGCGGTTTGGTTGGTGTACACCAGCTCTTCCGGTTGAGTGAGCAGAGCAATCGAACTGCAGATGGATCAAACAAACGAGAGTGCAGCAATGCAGATATTCACCGCAGTAAACGCTTTCCAAAATCAAGATCCGAGATCAACGCAGAGGAACGCAGGGAAAGATCAAACCGCTCCCGCTCCGTACGAGCTTCTTGCTGCGTAAGTCGACGGGAATGCTCCGTTTCTAGAGTTTCGAAAAGTCCGAGCACCTAAGTGGTCGATTGTCCAATCCAAGAGGATCGACGAAAGGAAACGAAGTGATGCCAGACTGCGAGAACGGTGGTTCTCGACCAGCTAGGAAGCTTACAGTTCTGCTACAAACCGCTTCATTTAGCAGAAATCGAGTGTCGTTGCTGGTAGCATGTCTTTGAAGACGCTTCAAAGTTACCAGTCCATAGATCGATATTGTCCAAGCGCAGTTCTTGTTTGGACCCCTTTTCTAGCTCTCTCGTCCGCCCAGCACTTGCGCATATGTCTTTAGGGCACTCGCGTGTTTTCCAGATGCTTCTTCCATGCCTCACGCACATATACCCGATCGGTTGCAAGGTAGATGGCCGTCTTTTCGTCGGGAACGCCACGATGACTCTAAGAAAGAGACATATATTGACCAAAGTCTCAAGATCTCATGATATCTGGATGTACAGAAAGAGAACGTCACTATAAGCTTTTACTCCATCATTAAATCGTTTCTAGAGTCAGACCAAGGAGGAATACGCACTCGGAACCTAGATCCGCTGGCGGCACTGTGCTTCACTCAAGAATCTACTCAGAGTTAAGCGTCAGGCAAGAGCGTATCGATAATCGACGAGCTGTGCGATCAGTTCAGTCGCAGTACTGCGGGCCCCTTGACTGGGCAGATTCGTTCGCAGGAAAGCGCACGAATGAGACAGCATTACACGCTGCAAAGACGCTTGCAGCGGAGAAAGAGTAGCAGGCACTGTATTTTCGACCGGCTCTAGTCTGCGCGTTCATCCCTTACTTGCAAGGACCTTGCCAAGTGCATGAAGTGTGGCAGATACTCTTGCGGATCCTGCATCACGCAAACACGTTTGCCATTAGACGGCTTCGTTGACCAGAATGCCTCCAGCTTCTATCCTGTGCTTTTGACCGGTCCGTTGCCACGTGGCAGAGATCGACGGGTGGATTGCTGAGTCAACCTGAAGTACTCAGACTCAACGGCTTCAGAAACATAAAAAGAGTGTCACTGCAGGTCCACTCAAGAATAGATTTCGTGGCTGGACTGTGATCCAGCTCATAAGCCAGGAAGTTTTCGATCCACAAATCGTCTCACCTATCACTTTGTTCTGAACGACTTCGTGCTAATTATACCTAAGCACGTACAATCTGGAATGGTCCTACCGACCTACGTTACAGCTTTGGCAGTGCCACGTGTCAAGCATCCAGCGACTCACCGTTTTCTGGACCAACCGGCCCAGGCTCATCATGCGGACGTGTACGCCTATCGTGAGCGGTCGAAACCTGGTCTCTACCCAATGATCTCGCACATCTCTCAGTGCTTTCGAAGGGCGCATTAGAAGCTGAGCAACGTCGTGGAAAACATATCCTGGCCGGAACAGTGCTCGCAGGGTTTCCCTGTGGTGGGGGTTGGCCAACCATAAGTGGGCTGCAAATACGAGGATGGAAATAAGAGATTGTCAGTGGAGTGGGAATTCTAAAGGTGAAGGTGTCTCAACCAGTCAATAATACCACACTGCCCAGTGTAAGCCAAGCGACTGCGAACAGGGCTGAGATCGTCGCTAGTGTTGAAAGCTTGCTGTATATAGCAGCAAAAACGACCGAAAGAAAGGCATGGAGCACCTTACCAACTGTGCCAGCTGGGTTCTCCCATCATCATGACTGCAGGCCGCTTCTCAACCTTGCTGGGATTGAAAGTGAACCCCTCTCTTGAGCTGGAAGGCCAATCGAGATCATGCTGTAATTGAGCTTGAAGGAAGGCTTGGGTAGAATTTGAACTGCCTGCCAGCCCAAACATAAGCTCTATGGTCAGGATCGTCATGCGGGTCAAGAATTCTGCCAACCACAGCACCGCCATTTGTGAACTTCTAGCTTTGTAACAAGTAGCGGGGTACTTACCTGTCCAGTCCATGGATCCATTCCCCCAGACCACCGGTCTGTCTGCCAGGTCAGCAAGATTCAGATCTAGTGCGTCATAGACGAAGTCCACTTGGGTCAGGCTCTCATCCCTTATTGTAATTTTCAAACCAGAGTCCTTTTCCATCAAGCTAACTGCGTCCAGCTCAATATCCTGTTGGTTAAAGAGATCGCCCCACTGACACTTGCACGTGTCCAGTGTGTGGATGCACTTACAGTAGTCAATCAAAAGGGCGCGGTGACTGATCAAAGCCAGCATGAACGCTGTTACGATGCCAAGAAGCCTGTTGCCCTGTCCAGACTGGTATGGAATGTACAAGAGGAGCTTACGCTCTCTGAGAGCAGTTGCGTGCGTCTCTTTGTATGCTTCCCAGGCAGATGCCAAGCTGCTCTTCTTTGCCTGTACGTACTGCGATTGAATCTCTTGAAGCTGGACAGCCCTTTGGGTGTGAACTGAAGATTCCGCCAGAAGGGCACTTTGAGATGCTGACAGTCCTGTTGTGAGAATGGAAAGCAAGTTCAACGATACTGCTGGAAGTCTGTAGAAGGCTCCGAGACGCTACCAATGTGAAAAGGTCCAGCTAGAAAGCTGCCGAAGATGCCAGATATGAGCAGAAGTGATACGGAAAGGACGAGTGCCCTTTTCCAATGAGTCGAGCTCAGCCTAGTCCACAACGTGCCCAGCTGCTTCCCACAACTCATGGACATCTTCTGGATTGAAAGCTTCCAATGTGAGGCCCACAGAAGAGGAGTGCTATCTCAAGCAGCTGAAGACTTTCTGCTCATGGCCTCTTGGCACCACCACCGCCATCGCTGCACAGCAATGGTCATAAAATTCTCTCCACCTCGCTGCGTTCATGCTTTTCGAGCACAAGTCACGTCCTGCAGCTATATTCAAGCCCATCGGCTCTGGAGCAGCGCTGCGCTGGTGGATTGTCACCTTGACAACGACATTCCTTGAAATGCTTCGAGCTTGCGAGCTCTTGTCATCGATTCCAGCAGAGGGGCAAGCGGCAAACACATGCTGGCACCAGCAAAGTCTGTTCAGTCAAGTCTCAAGAAATGCCTTCCCTGACCTTTTGTCAACAGAATCTCGAGCTTAAATTGTCAAGTATAGAACAACCGCGTATTGGCCCACTGTCGGCTCGCTAA